AAACTTTCCGTGACGGAGAAGAAGAAAGACGACATGGATGTGGATCAGGAAGGCTCCAAGAAGGATTCCGCCGGGACGAAGAAGCCCACGCCTCGGGATACTGGGGCTGGGAAGACAGACCCGAGCGAGATCACCAATTACAAAGGGGCTACATTCGAGGAGTATGGAAAGACTGCTCCTGACTATGTGTACAGCGGGGAGGGAGATGATCGAAGGATCCTTCCCAAGAACACTCCGATAGACATGGAGAAGTCGTTGCCAGCCGAGGCAGCGCTCTTGATTCCGAGAGCAGTGGCCACGCAAAAGGAGGCTGAGGAAGCTGAGAAGGCCGCGATGGAGGCCATCCGCGGGGACTATAGGCTTCCTGACGTGGGACAGGAAGACAGGGAGAAGGTCGACCCTCACACCGTGACGGATGAGGACTTGGCTGCGTCGATAGACGCGTTGACTAGGAGGTTGAGCGACATGCCTGAATGGTCGGGCAATCTAATCGACCCTGCGAAGTCTGCTGAGCTGGTCGCGGCGAGATGGGGCGGAAAGGCGAGTTATGACAAGCCTGAGGCTCCTCTGACTGAGGCTGGGATGAAGAGTGCGTCATTGGAGGATCGAGCCTATGCCCTATCGCAGCTGAACGAGATGGTGAACTTTCACAAGAAACACCTATGCTCTGGGCGAGGAGCGCCAATGGTAAGTGCAGCTGCTCCCAGTGGACCCTTTGCTCCTGATCAGGTGGATGATAGCAGGAGGTTCAGGCCGAGTGAGGCGGCGAGCAAGATGACCTACAATCTTGTGGTCCTGGATGGAAGGAAGGATTATCTTGCCGATAGGCGGGAAATCAATCCAGATTTAAGGGATACTGGGGTTATCCCTGATGAGGCCGCTACGTGCCAGATTGTGGTTCCCTCGAAGACAAGGTTGGGCGAATACCTCCCGAACTACGAGAAGCTGGAAACTGGGTGAATAGTGACCAGGCCATCTGGTTCCTGAGGGAGATCTCGGGCATGGAGAACGCCGAGATGTCGTGGAAATTCTTCATTCCGACGATCAAAGCTTTCCCGATAGGGCAAGTTGAGACGATGCTCATGGTCATGTACGATGGGAATGGTGTCCTCCTCAAGGAGAGCACTAGGTTAGTGGCCGTTAGGCACACGCGGATCGGACGTGACATGAGCTACAGTGCCGTTAGGCAAAGGTACACCCAAGAGGATGCACCTGGCGGATCTCTAATGTATGAAATGCACTGGAATGAACTCCCCATGGTGGGGTACGTCGTCGTGAAGTTCTCGGACTTTAGGAAGGCGGTCCAGCTCCAAAGGGTGAGGCGAAACGGAAAGGCCATGATCGAGATATTGATCACGAGGCCCGATGTGTACGAGACCATTGGGGATGGTAGGCAGGATGAGGGCCTGATCCCACTTGTGGGAACCATGGCGCCGAATGCCGAGGTATCGCCTTCGTGGTACGTCAGGGACAGGCTGCGGAACTACTCGGGTAGGTACGTGGTGGTAATGGTGGACCTTCGGGTGCACTGGTCCTTGGTTGGACCCGTGTTTTTGACGAGAAGGAAGACCCTTGCCGTTCGGAACGAGATCCACATGGGAGCTTGGAAGGCAGCATACATGTACGATGATTACACGATAGTGTACCATCGGGCATGGGACTATGGTGACTTCACCCCCGTTAGGGGAGAGCACAGGCGATCGCGTGAAGAGGTCAGGTTGAATGTGACCACCACGTTCTGTTTGAGGTGCGCGGAGATGACGCCAAATGGGATGCATTTGTGTCCTGGGTGTGCGCTCCCGGTCTTCTACCCGAACTTTATCCCCAACGCGGAGGAAAATGACTTCGAGAGGTGCCGCATCGTCCCGGAGTGGGTGAGGACCATGGGGCAGTTCAAGCCCAAGAGGATCCCCTCCGAAGTGGTCGGAGTCATCAAAAGGAACTTGATTTCCTATTCGATGGCGTCTGATCTGAGGATGACGGTGCAGAGCGGCATCAGACTGCCCCCTTATCTTGGCGAGGACAAGGGAGGAGTCGATACGGCGTGGGATGAGCTGGCGAAGGTGCTCTTCCAATTCTCCTATGTGTCGGGGATTTCGGCCTCGGATGCGTTCGTGGAAAAGTGGGTAGCGAAGCACCTGATTTTGACCAACCAAGTCGATAGATTTGAGTCGGTCACGGAGTACTTCCGGGCTAACCCAAGGCATGCTGCTCAGTGGGGTAGGCGTATGACGACTTCCGTTAGGAAGTTCGCTCGCCATGACACGTACTTGTCCTTCTATATCCCGATGGCATACGTGATTGGCTCCGCGGCGGGTCATCTGACTCCATTGTATCCGACCCATCGGAAGGACGTGGACATCCTGGCCAGTCATGCATTGATATCGCAGCATAGGCAGTACATGGTATCGGAGACAGGGTACGATGAGAAGAAGAGGTTGAAGGAGGCGATAGCCAAGGTGCAGAAGGCGATCAGTGCCGGACAGTCGGAGCCTCCCGCCCCCTTCCGCGACCCATTCGTCTACGTTAGTGACGAAAGGGTGAGGACGGTTCTTGATGGTCGTCAGCCCGAGCCATTGGACGTGAACGTCGAGGGGCTTCAATCGGTGCATCATGGGTCCTGGTCCCAAGCAGGAGCCGATCACCAAGGGCGGAAAAGGAAAAGGAAAGAAGGGAGAAAAGGGCGGTAAGGGCGGTAGTCCTTCCGGCCCACCACCGAAGTCAGGTGAAGTGCCAGGTAAAGGATCTGGTAAGGGCGGTAGCCCATCTGTCCCAAAGGCAAAAGCAAAGGATGATGCTGGACCAGCTCCGATGGAGGTTGATCAGCAGCGGCTCAGCCGAAGAAGACTTGGGTCGCGATAGCGGTTGAAGGAGCCCGGCCGAGTGCGAAGGCTAAAACGACCCGGTTCCAAAGGCCGAGCCAAAAGGGAAGGCCGCTTCAGTGTCTGAGGCGAAGAGTGCTCCGGCTCCGGGCTGAGGCTAAGGAGACGAAGCAGGCCGAACCGAGGGTTGAGGTCAAAAAGGAGAAGGTAGGCGGAGACGACGCTCCTGGCGGTAGTCGGGGGTCGGCTGAAGGGCAGAAGAGAGAAAGGAAGTCCCGTTGGGATCCCGATGAGACTGTGAAGGAGTCAACAAAGCGGGAGGCGTCAACAAGGCCTGACGACGTCGACAGCAGACCAGGTGCGGCAGCGAGAGAAGCTAGTGGGGATGATCTTCACTCCGCGCTTGGCAGATCTTCGGCAAAGGACGCGGTAGCACCTTTGACGGCCTCCAAGGCGATGGCAAAGAAGCCTGAAGGCGGTGAGATCAGGTTGCAGTCGGCTGAGCGAGCTGCGGCGAGCCCGGTGGAGGGTCACTTCCTGGTGCTGCCTGAGAGTTCGGTGGTGGACGCCCTCTTGGCGGTCTCCACCAACAGAGTGCTGAACAAGCAAGTCAGGGATTTCATTAGAAATGGTGAGGACGCGTCAGCACTGGAGGCTCTCAACCAGATCGTGACGAACTCTCGCTCTGGGAGGAGGCGTAGGGAATCGGATGTTTCCCGTACTCCTTCTCGGAGGTCCGTTAGGACCGTGGACACCAGGGATTCCAGAGAGTCGAGAAGGCGCAGATACCGTCCGCGGCGCGAGGATGATCGCGACCGAAGGAGGGATGATGCTCGTGATCGTCGTGATGATGATTCACTCGATCGGGAGCGAGATCGAAGGCGAGATGATCGCAGGAGATCCGAAAGGGATCGTGATAGGGACCGCGCGCGGGGCGGACGTGACCGGAGGAGGCGTGACGATAGCCGATAGGCTGAATCACGAGGATTGCGGCCGATAGGCTTGCGTCCATTCTCCAATGGTCGGCGCGGCGCGGAGGTGGTGATGTTCCTCCCGGACCGCTGAGGCGCGGAGGACATGTCTCTCCCGTACCGCTGCTGGGCTGCTGGTCGTGTTCATCGGGAAGCAGTGTGAGTGAGAGGGAAAGCAAACTGATGGGGGGTTACTCCCGGGTTTGCGGAATTCAAGCATTTTTCAGGTACGCATGGTCAGGAGTACCTCTTGCCGTTAGGCGAGGGTGCTAGATGGACATACGTTATCTTCTTTTTCATGGCTACTGATAAGAATTAAACTTCTTGCATTGTTGATGCAAACAGTTGTGACCTAGTGTCGTCATGTGGACCTTTCCACAAGGTATGTTGGACAGCGTTACCCCGATTAATTCGGGGTGGTGGCGGGAATTTAATGCCCGGGATGTCGCGCAACTGCCTTTGTGGGTTTGCTCCACCGCTGACGGCGGTAGTGTCCAGCTGTTTGCGGACGCACGCGAGCAGTTAAATCCTATCAGTAAATGGCACGCTCCGCCCGTCAAATGACGGACTCCTCGTGAGGGGGGTGTGATTAGCCATGATTCATTCCATCAACAGGGATGTCGCGGTAGTGACTGACCTGTGATGTTTGGCTCAAGTTTGCGGGTCCGTCGCGCCTCGGATGAGCGCCGGGTCCCCGCGTCGATCACCTTCGTGTCGGTGGAGAAAGAGACATCGGCCCGGGGCAGATTGGTGGGGTCCGCCCGTGCGGTTCATCGTCGATCAAGGTTGCGGGTACTTGTTTACTTGTTTTGGATTTTCCCTTTTGGTTGTTGTTCTCTGGTGTGTGGGAAACCCTGATCTTTGGGACCGGGGATTGGTTTGCTTTTGGGGAACCTTTCTTTTGTGGCTTGTTTACCCCAACTTACCCATTGCCTGGGCACAGGCTCGTGCCCGAATCACAGTATCCTTTAGTACTCTTTTACTACCCTACACGGGCAGATCCTCCAACGCCGCACCCAAGCCGTTTCCTAGACCAAAGGACAGACCCAGAACCGCCTGGGGTCCTTCTTAGGTCAGTTTGATCAAGAATAAATGGGTTCCACTGGTTTCGGCAAGGCTTCCATTTACCAGGCAAGCCCAGTTTTCCCAAAAGGCCACCCATGCCCAGCCCACCGGGCCGAGGGGCCGCGCCGTCGACGGCCTTGAGGCACCCCGGGAAGCTGCGCTGGTCCCAGGGCTGCGGCATCCTGCGCCTGAAGGTGGCAGAGAGCGTTCGCATGCGTTCGAATCGTTCGGGCGAAGGCTAGGTGCCCTTTGAAGCCGTTTTTTTTGGGGGAGGGTTCCGAGAGAAACCTAAGCTACTATAGACTACAGAAAAACCAGTGCCCTTTCTCAGCCCTTTCTTGGGTTTTGGGTTCCCCTACTAAAATAGACCACTGAAAAAAGTTGGTACCAACTTATTCTAACCTCTCAAATCTGGAGGACCTAGAAGCGTTGCGTCTTTGGTGCGCTAAGGAAGGAACTGGTTTTGGGGATTCGCAATATGAACGGAAACCACCAGTCGGATGGTTGGGGGTCATTCCAACTCATTCCCTGAGCACCAGCAAGTTGTTTTTTGGGGTAAGACAAGAAAAGCCCAGTGGTTGGGGGTCTCCGATATTTTCAGACACGCGCACTGGCGACTCAGAGGTTGAGGGCCTTAGGAGTATACACCTTGGTTCGGTTTCAGGTTCATTGACCGCGTTCCCGATGTCATGCCGCGAGGTCCTGAGTTCCCAATGTTTTCACTTCGAACAACATCGCCTTCAAAGGACAATTTGTTGGCAGCTCGATTGGAGAGATCAGCGCGAAACGCGAAGCGAAGGATCCAGAAGTGTAATCCTGCAAAGGGTATCCATAGGGCGTCCAAGAGGAAATTCAACAGAATGCAAGGGGATCCAAACAGGTCTTAAGCAAAAATGGCATTGGAGCTTCAAACAGAATCCAAGCAAGGCCCCAATGGACACAAAAGGATCCACGTGATATCCCAAAACGCATCTCACCGGAATGCAAAGGGAAAACCAACGAGATCCACATGGGATCCCAACGGATTAGCATGCATCTTGAGCGGCGCATCGTGTGACCTCGTGCTTTTTTCCCCTTTTTCTGTAAGTGGACTTCCCCTTTTGGCCCCAAAGGGCAATTGTTTTGAAGTGAGCCCTTCTGGACATCTTTCACAGGGCACTTCCCCGACGTGAGACAGGATGGCTCGCGGATCGGTTTCGAAGGGATGGCTCGCACAGCCGCAGCGCCGCAGCGCCGCCAGGTGTTCTTGCCCAGCGTCCGCGGAGCCCAAGACCTGGATGCCGGGCTCCTGAGCACGCCTTTCGGGAGAGGAGACTCCGTTTTTTTGTTTTTGTTTTTTTTGTTAGTTGTTTGCTGTCTTTCTTGCGGGAGGGACCTGGGTTTGGGGCTGACTCCGTTTTTAGGTTTATTCATATATATATATATTTTGTGCTCAGGGTTGGGGGGACCTTGGTTTGAGGCTTTGTGTTTCTGGAGCGTACCCTGTTTGGGCAGTGGTTTCAAGGAAACCCGAAGCAAAAGCCGAGAATTCCCTGTTAACTCACATTGAAACGTGGGCCAAAAACTTCAAATGGGGATTCTCATAAATGCCTGTGGCTCAACAACCGGTACCCAAAATGGAACCCTGGTAATTGGAAACATGGACCAAAACCAGCATAACCCCACCTGTTTAATGTTGAGCCACACCCAAATGTTGAATTTATCTTCGGGTTGGTGAGCCAAAAGAGAACCAACCACAGACGATTTGGAGCCGCGAAACGGATCCAAATAAGCTCTTGAGTTGAGGATCCCACAGGTGGATGATGTTGGACAACGGAGATTTGGGTGTGTCTTTTTTGAGGTTACCCCTGGTTTTGTGGTCTTAAAGGAAACCCAAAGGACAACCACCATTTTGGGGAGTCCCTAAAAAAGCAGACCCATATACTTTTGTTGGTGTGGTGGTTCACATCTGCTTTCAGTTGCTCTTGTCGTTGATTGGACACCGTTTGCCAACCATGCCAAAGTGGTAATTGTTGGGTTGGGGAATGTTGCCAAGCAATCCCGGAGGCGGTTGAAGATTGGGACGGATGCTGGACAAAGGGGAGAACCCTTCACTGTGACTCCGATGTAGCTTGCACAGATCAAGAAGAAGCAGCCAGGAACATGGACATCTAGGCAGAACCCTTGGTGCTGACTTGCAGGGACAAACCATTCTGGCACTTGAAAAACCACCACTTGTGCACCATTTCCCCTCGTTTTTTGGGCCTCCGAAAGTGGCAGTTGGTGGGAGCCCCACCGGAAAAGTGGAATCAATTTTGCGCGTGTCCGCTTCGTTGGCGGAACTCTTTGAGTCACTTTGAGTTGGATTTTTTTGGGACCGATGTGTTGGCGTCCTATGTGTTGGACTTTGGGTCACTATGTGTTGGCGTCCTGCCTCCTAGTTCGCTGATTCCAGCGCCATTCGAGTTGCGCCCGGCGCCATGGCCGCCTTTGGCTCCGTGGCTCGGTGCGGCACCCAGCGGGGGGGGGGGGGACTGGGTACCTCAGCCTGAAGATTCGTGGAATCTTCTAGGGGTTAACTTCCACTTCCATTCTTTCCAGGGATCCGAGTCTTTCTAGAAAGCCACCAAGAACCCCGGCGAAATGGCGATCGGTTTTCGGAAAAGAACGATGGCTGGAAAGAAGGGGGAATCAACCCCTAGAAATTTGTGGCTTGTCCTCGGCGAAACGAGCAAGGTTGCAAGCAAACAAGAAGCAGTCGTGAGATTGTGAAGGAGTAATGTTGACTCCGGACTCATCAACCTGTCTGGCAAGCAGTGAACCATTTCTCAAATTGGACACCCCGCATCAGCTACGGGTTGACTATCCTGGGTCCCACAACCAAAACGCATCCAAACGGTTTTGTCTCACGAGAAATGGGCGTTTACTTTTCGATTTCCCTTTCAACTGGGGTTTGTTTTGCACTTGTCTAGATGCGTCTCCTGGTGGGATGTTGTTTAAGGAGGAGATATGGGCATGGGTCAAAGTAAAACCACCAGAAAACCGCATGTTTCAGGCTTTGGTTCCATTTGTCAGGGTCCCATGTTCGGGCATGTTTGACCCACAGCCATATTAATATAGGGATGACATGTTTACCCGCCTCAAAGTCCCTCAGAGTGTGAGGCTCCGGCGCCTCATGGGACACCTGCGGCCGAGTACAGCGGCCGCTGGCTCAGCAGGCGCGAACGCGGACGCGGCGTGGGTTTGGCGCGGCCCATGGCATGCGCTTACTTGCGCAACCGCCCCACTTCCTTGCAGGAGGTGAATGACCCAAAAAAGAGAAAAACAGAAACAAACAACGACATACCCTATTTGGCTTCCTTTAAGGGAATCCCCTTCCGGTTCAAACCCCAACACCCGGACTCGGTCATTCCCTACTGAGCACCAGCAAGTTAAGCGCTTGATATCCCGAGTTCAGTCTCAATGTCATATCCTTGCGTGCGCAACGGTCAATACTTGCCGTCATCTACTCCAGTCAAAGGAATGACATGGGGCGCACGAGAACCAAAATCCAATGGCAGTTTGGGACACGATGAGTATTGACCCCGTCTCTACCTCATTTCCTTGGGATTGTTCACAGTTTAAAGGGAGTACACGTGCAATGGTCAAAACTCCTTCTGGCTTGGCCATGGTCCTCTAACAGGGCTCAAAAGATACCTTTTGCCCATTTGAAGCATGGCTTTTTCCACCAAACTAAAGGGAACCCACAATTTACGTAAGGATCCCTGTCTAATGGTTTTCAAAATTGACTAGGGGTTTATAACCTCTCCTTGCCCATCCGTTGCATGTGACTTCTTGCATCCCAGCATGGATGTGTTTGTCTTTGAGGGTGCCCCCTTTTTGTGGCTTTACAGAGATACCAAATGGAAAACCTCTGTTTTTGGGGTCCCCAAAAAAAGACACACCCACATAACCAACTAAAGGAAACGCCCGTACAATACCATGGCTCCCCCATGAGGAGGGCTCGATGGAGATAGCCCACACAAGGCACATGCGGTGGAGTCTAAAATTTGACGGAAAACAAATGGAAGCATCACTTTTGTTTTGGTGCTCGAGTTTCCCCTATGTCCGTACATTGCCGGACTTAGCCACGCCTTTTTCACTTTTGGCCTTTTTAGTGTTCCTGCATTTCCCTTTCAACCAGCAAACAGCTGCCTAGTCCGGCCATGCAATCGATCATGAAGATGCGGGAAGCAACCACTTAGTTTTCCAATTTTTTGCACCTGTTTGCGTCTACAGGGTCACTTCTGGGTCTGCGTCTGTCTGGCCCCGCTGAAATGGCCGGAGCCCCTGGCTCCACCCGCGACTCGGGAGGCCCGAGCTTGGGCGCGGCCGCCAAGGCCGGGGACGTGGCGAAGTGCCGAGAGCTCTTGGCCGCGGGCGCGGAGGTGAACTGGAAGGACCAGGCGCGGAAAAACCGAGCGAAAATAAGACGAAGCTTTTGCCGTTTCTAGACTTGGTGGCTCCCAGCGGTTCCTTTGCCTTTTAGCCTTTTAGTGTTTAGTGGTAGTTTCCATTAAACCCACTAAAAGTTAGTCACTTTTAGCGGGGGATCTGAAAAAGGGCAGCCCACTACAGGATGCCACATTAATAAGAGGGAGGGCACTGGAGGTTCTGCAAGTGAGCCAAATACCCAGTTGGTTGCTGTAGAATTTCATGTAGCTGGTCTCCTTGATTCATGTTTTTGGAAGACTAGTTTGGGACAGCCTGTGGTGGACAGCCTTGGTGCCCTTGTTTGGCAACATTGAATTTAGTTGGAAGTCTCCTCAAACTTGGTTTGTTAGATAGTTCCAATGCAAATGCTATCTGGGTCCCAAAATTCGATTCGCGGTTTCTCACAGGGCTCTGCCCCAGCATGTTGCGCACGAGCTTGGCAATGCATGAGATTCCAGCTTCCTGATTAGACTGTGATCCATTTGGAAAAAAGAAAAGCCAAGAGGCACGCACAAGAACCAGCAGACGAGCTCCAAGTGTCCCAGGGAAACGTGTTGTGCTTTCCTTTGGAGAGCGCGGGATTTGGTTGCAGGCCTTGGGAGGTCGTCCGTGCTTTGAACAGGTTTTCCTTTTCGGCTGCTTGGACAGGTCTTCAGATGTGGGACTTGGACAACGATTCGTTCGGCAGTCAGACGATCGTGAATCCCGTTTGACATGGAACCTGTATGGCGCACCTGGAAGGGATGGTTTGAATTGCAACCATGTCACGAACCAGGCACGAGCCCAGTCGGGGATTCGACGGCGCACAAATTCCTTCCCAGCTCCGTTGGCTTTTCTTGGATGGCCAGCCAGGCTTGGGAGCCAGCCACAATAGCGGCTTTCCAAAAGTCCCAAATGTCAAATTTCACCGCTTGCAATTTCGAGCGAATGGCAATTGACGAAAAAGGAAGAAGTCAAACTTTGCAACATTTGGACCTCCAAAATGGCCAAGCGGTGTTCCTTTTGGTTTCTCTCTCAACCCGTTTGAATCAAACAAAACGCGCCTTTTGGCGTTCCTTGTGGTTTTCCCCAGCTGGGCCTCGCCATGCCTCGCCCCGCACGGGCGTTTTGAGCGTCGCACTGGACGCGCCGCGCAAGCGCCGCCTCCGTCGCACCGCCGCCATCGCAGGCGGGGCGCAGCGCGCTGCACTGGGCGGCCGCCGCGGGGCACTTGGAGCTTTGCCGCCTGCTGCGCCACGCCGGGGCCGCACCTCGGGGCGCCATTGGCGGGGCGGTTGGCCGCCCATGGGTCTGGTAGTTACGACACACGCCCACGTGGAGGGGGGGGGGTTCTCGTCTTTTTTGGGATTCCGTTTGAGTCGCGGGTTCTTGTCTTTTGTGGGATTCCATTGAAGGGGTGTCTCGTCTCAAACGGGGATTCGGAAGGGTTTCTTTGAGGGTTTTCGCTTTGGCTCAAAACGCCCCGATTTGTGAAGTCTCTTTCTCTTGGCCTTTCCTTGATCTCCGTGAGACGCTGGCCACCTTGCGACGCGTGAACTGGGGAGCCGACTTGCGGTGCCCATAGCGAAGGCGACACAGATATGTCTAAGGTCAGTGCTTAAAAACGCGGAGGGGAAGGGCGATCCTTTCAAATCTGATTCATTTGATCAGTTGATATTCAAGGTTCAGCTGCGTTCTCTCGCGTTCTCAGGTTTCCAAAAGTAAACCATGGGTTTTGGATGGGAAAAAACGTCTATTATGTATATATGTACTCATATTGTCCCATATTGTCCCTGATTTTTTCCCTTAGCTGTCTGTCTCACAAAACATGTCTCCGATACTAATGTCTCGTTAGACAAATCGATGCATCCAGTCACTCTATCAGCATCGAGGACATCGATGCCAGATCTATCTGCGGAGAGACGCCGCTGATCCTGGCCGCGCGAGCCCAGAAATCCTTGCCCACCTGCGACTTCCTGGTCGCTGAGGGGGCGGACATGGAGGCGGGAGCAGTAGCCTGGGTGAATTACACAACCGAATTCACCCCAAATGGTGTTGTTTATGTGGGGAATAACCCCCCCAACCACCGCAAGTTTCAGGTTGGTGAAATATGATAGTTTCTCTGGCTACTCACCCAGGGATCCTTCTCTTCAATTCTGGGCCGAACAGTTTGCGGGGAAGATGGGTGGTTTTCTAGAGAGCAGGAGGGAGGAGGAAAAAGTCAGCCCTTCGAATAGTTGTGGGAAATAACAGTGGTCCAGCTCAGATGTTGGTGGTTGTAAACATCATTTGCCTGGCCCATTTGAGGCAAATTGTTCTTGGTGGGACATTGTTTTAAAGGAACAGATAGGGAACCCTGGACCAGGTTCTGGCTATTTCTTCGGTGATACCCTTGGTGGAATGCGTTCAGTTAGGGAGTCGTCTTTGCGACTATTGGGCGGGAGCCTTTGACCTGGAGAAAGGCCAACAAAACAAGTGGGGAAGAGGCTGCTTTGCATCGTCCCAGCGATCTACATTGCAGAAATGTTCGAAACTAGCAGATCCTAGGCCGATTCAGCGTCCGTAAGTAACAGGGCGGAATTGGCTGTTCCATGTTATTTTCGTGCTCCGCGCGCCGGCCTCGCATGTCCGCCGCCCGGGCTGGATGGATGGACGCGATGGATGGCGGATGAGAGGGAGAGAGCGAGGAGGGAGGGAGGGAGGGAGGGAGGGAGGGAGAGGGAGGGAGGGAGAGAGAGGGAGGGAGGGAGGGAGGGAGGGAGGGAGGGAGGGAGGGAGGGAGGGAGGGAGGAGGAGGGAGGGGGAGGGAGGGAGGGAGGGAGGGGGGAGGGAGGAGGGAGGGAGGGAGGGAAGGAGGGAGGGAGGGAGGGAGGGAGGGAGGATGGATGGATGGATGGGATGCGGTGGGCGGGTGGATGGGTAAATGGATGGGGGGGTCCGTGGGCCCGGCCGCCCGCCCGCACGCACGCACGCCCGCCCGCCCGCCCGCCCGCGCGCACGCACGCACGCACGCACGCACGCACGCACGTACGCACGCACGCACGCACGCATCAGGAATGGCTTGGGGAAGAGTGGCCCCATGTGGCCCCAATTGCGGGCGGTGCAAGGCATGCAGACGGCGCGCGAAACATGGGGGTTGGCGATGCTGGCAATGCAGCCGGGTCGCTGCATATTTGCGGCGTTTTGAGCCCTGCCCCAACTCGTGCTGCAACGGCCGCCCGGGCGGGGGCATGCAGACGATGCGAGGGGTCGGCGGCAGCGACCGTCAGTCGGAAGGCAAAGCCATTTTAGGGCTGCCGCTCGGTCCCGCCGACCCCTTTTTTGCTTGTTGTTCTTGCATGTGGAGATTTAAGGTGGGCCCATCGCTTGCTGTTGCCTTGGTTGGCGTTGATGGCCGGAGGGATTTGCTAGAAGAGGGGAGAACAGAAGAGACAGTTTCATGCCCTGAGCACGCGCTCCGAGGGGATTGACCCGAGGTCACCATGGCTGGGGTTGCGGGGAGATTGGCTTGAATCTGTCTCTTATGTTCTCATTTGTTCTAGCGGGGGGGAGGAGGCAGGGTGATGATGATGTTGGTGCGATGGTGGCGCATTTGGTTTTTACATAGCCCCTGGGTGGCTTTTGCTCCCGACCCCTCGGAAACAACCCCCCGTAAAGCGAATTGCCGCAGCAAATGTTTTAGTGCTTTCTTGTTTTGAGGGCTGCCCCCGGGAGTGTTTTTCTGTGTTTTTCGTGACTTCGAACAGGCTCCCAGGTGCCGCCCCTCCCTTAGTTCGGGCTGTTTTCGGGTTTTAGGTTTTTCGTTTTTAGCCGGTCCGATGATGCGGAGACGCGGGGATGGGGGGTTCTTGCAAGTTTCTGTGATGCCGCTTTTTGTGCTACGTCGCCCGTTTTGCTGATCCTTGTCGGTGCTCCCGGGCACAACCCCTCTCCCCTGTTTTGAGACGTTGTCCGCCCAGCCTTTTGTCTTCCTAGCTGCCTGCCTGCCTGCCCGCCTGCCTGCCTGCCTGCCTCGTCTGCCTGCCTCGTCTGCCTGCCTCGTCTGCGTGCCTGCTTGCTTGTGCGCCTGCTTTTTTGATTGCTTGCCTTTTGGTGCGCTGGTGAAACTCTTGTTTTTACATAGCCCCCGCAAAATATGCTTTGCAGTGATGCCTGCCAAATGAAGTTCTCTGAAGACTCTCGCCTGCGGAACTGCGGAACAGGAGGGCGGATGTTACATGGATTCAGAGAATGGTGAACTGGGCTGTGCGAAGGTGCTGCAAGAGAGAGCCGGGGACCCACTGCCGCTATGCGATGGCATGCCTGTAGCTGCTAATTACGGACCACTTGGAACGAGATCTAGACGCAAAGTGCGACTAGCGAGAACACGGGCAAAACGAAAGCAGAGGTTTGGCGCCTGGATGGAGAAACGCCAAGGACACGGACGATGACAATCATCACGCGCGGCGCTGGGGATGCAGAGGATGCTACAGTTCCTGCAGTTGCAGGTTTCTCGGACTAGCCAGTAGTCTCTTTCCTTGAAGGGACGATGATGGTGACAATGATGATGATGATGATGATGATGATGATGATGATGATGATGATGATGATGATGATGATGATGATGATAATGGCTGTGATGATAACTATCATCGCAGCATTCCAATGCTGCCGAACGGCACGCTTGAAATGTGAACATAAGAAATTTAAGAAGAAAGACATGACGATAGTTATGATAGTGATGATCACAATGATGATAACTATCACCATAGCACCTGTTGCGTCACCAATGCTGCCTAACGGCACACTTGAAGTGTACACAAGATGACATGATAGTGAGAACGATAATCACCATGATGACGATGATAGCTCTCTTCGTGCCACTCCCTGCGTCCCCAGTGGCGCACATGTTGATCGCCATCATCGTGTGACGATGACGATGACCATGCTGATGATGATAATGATGATGATGGCTGTGACCATGACTGGTTTGCGTCAATGATGACTTTCATGATCCGTATCATCACGGCCACCCTTCCCGTGCACCTCGCCCTGAGACAAAGGGTCGGCGGATTCTGGGGAGTAGAACCCCGGCTATGTTCTGATCAGATTTCACTTAAGGAAAAACAGCGATTGCAGTCCTCGCGGTTGCCCGAAGCTGTGGCTCCTTTTCGCGCCTTTGTTCAGTATGAGAACCATGAAAACGGAAAATGAGTGAGAGAAACTCCCGGGTAGCTTTGCGGGTTGCCCTTCCGGGGGGTGAAAGGGACAAGAGCTTGAAGCTTCCAGGCAAGGGCCAGCAAGGGTGCTCGGAGCCTCGGGCAGGGGTCTTTGGAGAATCAGGGTGCCCCAATTTTGGCCGGTTTCTGGGAGGAAACAAGCAAACCCGGTTTTTGCATACTGTGAGAAGGAACCAAAAGGACAACCATCATTTTTGCAGATGTTTTTGCACGTGAAGAGGCTCGATTCAAGTTAAAGAATCCCTTTTTGGCCTTGAATGTAGAAGTTGGGTTGTCTCAAGATGGGAGAAGAGTTCTCCGTGGAGTGCCCTAAGCACCAAACTTGGATCCGAAACCGGCAACCCCAGTTCTCCGTTTTCCAGGGTTCCATTTTTTTTCGGGGACCCCCACAAAATTGTGGTTTCCCTTTGGTTTTCCTTTAAAACCACAAAAGTCAGGGATCCCTCAAAAACGACAGACCCATCTTGCCCTTCCCCGTTGCATTGAAACAAATGCCTTTTAGTCCAATTGAAGGTGAGTTTTTTTTTGGCCGGGTGTTTAAGGCGGAAATAGGGGCGTGAGATTTTCTGGGTTTCGGTTTGGAACTCAACAATGGTTGACACGAGTTCAATGTAAGAATCGTGGCCCAAACGGTAAATTGTCCAAGTCTGCTCCGATACCACAGGCAGGGAATTGCCTTGACTTTGGATGATTCCTCCCGAGGACAGCCAAGGAGTACCTGGACGATTACCTCAAGGAGCTTGGGGTGTCCGTCAACTGCGGCCTCGGTAGCTCGTAGCGGTGCCGGCCGTCGATGGTGCAACGATTCAACCCCACGGTGAGCAGTTGCACGGCGTAGACGAGGCCACCTCTTAATTGGACCAGTTCCGACCTTCGGCCCTATGTGCCGTGGCGAAAGCTCGACAGCACGGGCCATGCCCGTGTCCAAAAAAAGGTCCCAAAGAAGGTGGCTTGGACTCTCCCTCTCTTTCTCTCTCTCTCTCTCTTTCTATCTCTCTTTCTCTTTTTTTTTCTCTCTCTCTCTCTCTCTCTGCAAATTGCTCCACTGCGTACGGGGCCAATCCTTGCATTGGTCAACCTCAACCCGAGCAGTGCAGGTGGCCTCGCTTGATTTTGCACCTGATGTCGCCGACGTTGCAGCGAGAGCCTCCCGTTGCGCCGGTGATGCTCAGGTCAAGGTGACCGCCAATGACTTGTGGATAGGCGGGCTTTCTGGTGACTTGCTTCGAGCCGCTGAGCGAATTGGGGACTCCAAGGCACTGTCGGGGACACCGACCCCATCGTGCAGGGCTGCTTTGAGCGAAAGGCGCGGTGAAAAAATCATGTTCCATGCGCATGTTTGACAGTCATAAGACATGCCCAAAAGCACGGAGACGATTTGTTTGAAGGTCGACCCCAACGGCGAAAATTATGCCTGGCGCCAGACTGAGCATGGGCGGAACATGCCCTGCCGCCCTGCCGCCCTGCCGTGAGCTTTGCAGCTTCTTGTGAGGTTTTTAGTGCCGGACGAGGACCCTCCCATACTGGAGCTGACCCTGGATAAGGACAGCAGAGTTTTGCAGAATGCCAACAAATGGGTTTAATCAAAATGGGAACAACCCAAAACAGTTGGTTTCCGTTGCACCCAACACGGGCATCCTCAACCTCGACAGCAAATGTAGTGAAACTGACCGCTGCGTGTCGCTGCGTGTCATGACTGACACTACACGTCGTTGTTTGCTCCTCACTCCGCATCTCTACGTATTGCACGATAGCTCGCACGAGCTGGTCATGCATATTGGCACCACTCCCAGCGCATTCTTGGCGCTTTCTTCACGTTCTCGCCATCATAGAGCTTCCCCCTATCGTTTCTGGGTGAATTATAACGACCTCACACGACCTCACCCCAAATGGTGGTTTATGTGGGGAATAGCCCCCCAACCACCTCATGTCAGGTTGGTGAAATATTATAATTCACCTAGATTGTTTGCTTTGTTCAACTTTGACTTGAAATCGGAGCCCCGCCCCAGCAGTGGCCCAGGACTCGTCAGAGGTGTACCAAACCTTCAGTTATGGCACCTTGCTGTGGCCGCGGCTTTTCAATGACGACATTCCGTTGGGCCGGGCGCTCGGACAGGAAACCAAAAGGAAAGCCACGGGTGCTTGTCTTAAAATACGGACCTCCCCCCCAAACAAAAAGGTGGGTTTCCCCTTGGCTTCCCTTTAAAATCATGTTGAAAGCGGGTTCACCCACCGTGACGCCTCGCTCAGGCGAGGGTCTCTTTGAGGCTGACCTCACGGATTTGCCTCTCCGCTCAGCTGAGTTGGGGGATTCGTCGTGAGCGTTGCGCGCGTCCTTGTGTGAGGGTAGCCTCCTTGGCTGGTTTAGAGGGAAACCAGCAGGTCAACTACCATTTTTAGACGATTTTAGGGGTGAACGTTGGGATTTGTGTCCACCAATCGTCCAGGAAAGGGTTCTACACAGTCAAACGATCGCTTTTTGGGGTTCTGGTCCACTTTGAGAGATGCCAAACATTGTTTGGAAGGTGCGTAAACGTGTTTCCTCCGCGACTGATGTTTCTCCCAGACGAGTCTCAAGCAAGACTCCTTGGCGTGCAACCGCTTTGCACACACGGCGTGCCTTCCTTTCCCCACAGGTTGCACTCCCCTAATCCTCAACCTGGCACACTGAAGCGACTGGAAGCTTCAAACAAACCCCACTGAGTTGACTCATTTGTTGCTTTCTTTCGAGTGGCATAGGCTCCAACGCATGTGCATCCACTCAGGCCGCCAGAGCTGCTGGAGAAGTTTCAGACTGCTCAGGACCGCTCCAGCCACCCTTCCGCAGCGCTGTTTGCCTCATGTCTTTGTTGGCCCTTGTTTTAAATGCGTGACATTCTTTCACCGAGAGATGCCCCAGGGTAGACTATTATACTGTTTGCTGGCTGTCTTTGTCGAGGCGCGCTCTGACGAGCAGTCACGCAAAGAGAGGCAGAAGCGGCAAATGATGACGGAGGAGACCTTGCGTAGCACAATCCGCAAATTAAATGCTTTCTGACCTGCAGGAGGAAGTTGCTGAAGAAACTGCGAGGCCGGAGAGTCAAAGTCAAGCTCCCGGCTTGCTGCACCAGCGTTCTTTGTCACTGACTCAGGTTATGGAATGACGAGTTTGCAAGACATGGGATACCACACCGCGTCGATTCTTTGGAGGCCGCTGCGAGCTTGTGAGCCTTGCTACATCTGACATCTTGGCATATCCAGGATAGACGCATCGACAGCTACCAGCAGTGAGTCTGTGAAGGTGTCTGGGCAGCACCCCCGTGGATTTCCAGCCCACGGATTTAGAGATTGGCTGGACTTAGGGGATCAGAAGCCCAGACAGCTTCTCGTTAACGAACCGAGTTTTGAGAAGCGCTCAGAGAAAGTCTTGCCGGCCGGCTCCAGTTGACCATGTTACTCCAGGTTTGGACATGGGCACTCAGCAACCCGCGAGTGTTTGACTCCATGGCTTTTGACTCACTGTCACTTTCAAGTCCGACAGCAGTCTTGTGTAAGCCAGGACATGACAGAACACACCACAACACAACAGAATACGGCGTCGCAGCAGCAGACAACACAAACGGTATTACATAGCACCACTCATAAATAAATCACAACACCGCAGCGTAAGATGACAACACATCTCCACATGACAACATGACACGACACTTAGCAGAACCACATCACAAAGCGTTGCAACACATCACCACACATCAGAATGCAAGACAGCACATGGAACAACACATTACACCATATTCAGCCCATATCAACCAACTGCAAGGATGTACAATGCATGACGACACTTTACGGCACGCCGTGTTACATCACGCAACATGTAACGCAACAACACCTGTCACGACATCACACCATATACGGCAAGACGCAACACAACACCTCCACACCACTCACAGAAGGTCGCAAATATTTTTTCCAACACAACGTCACACCCCAGTGCAACAGACTATGACACAACATAAGACATGGCAACACTTTGTGACGCGGCACAAACAACCCAGCACGACACAACACGACACAACGCAACACAACACAAGACCCCAAACATATCGCAACATAAGAACATGCGCTGATATTGACACTTCGGGATGCAACATTACACATGAGAACACATCGCAACACCACAACATCACAACGCGACACGCCGCGTCACAGCACCGACCAGCGCAACAACAAACAGTTGAACCACAATACGTCACCGTCTACAGCAACACATGGCAACGTAAGTCGACAGAAGATGCATGCGTTTCTGGAGACCAAATCCTGAAACTGTGGATGCAAACTGGAACCCTACTTAGGGGGGAATATGATTACTTCCTTCACGTCCATGGGTTTTGCAGCGCTGGTTTCGTCTGCTTCCTCTCCAAGGAACTTCCCGGATTGGCATGGCTCAAGGGCGGGACGAGCCTGAGTCAGATTTGCAAGGTGCGGCAGATGTTTCAAGAAAAGCGTGACCCAATGAAAAGAGGGAGCCTCATTTTTTTCGCAGAGGCAGTCAAAGATTTTTTTTTCAGGACGTCCGCTGCGGTTTTCCAGGTGTTGGCTGCGTTTCGGCATGGCAACAGCATGGTAGCTTATGCGCCATGGACCCATCCTCGCGGGCTTCCGAATGGTGCGGCGCTTCTCCAGTCGCGCGCCAGGCGTTGCTCCAAGTCGCCACGGGTTGGCTGAGCCCCAAATCTGTTGAGCCCAGCCCCAGCTCTCCCAAACCGGGTTGTGGAACCAAGGGGTTTATCCCCACTTCTGTGATACAAGGAAGTATCCCACTTTATACAAGGGCTTAGTCTTTGGGAAGCCCTTTCCGTTGTATCACAGAAGTGGTCATTTCCCTTTTGGCAGCTGCACTGCAGGTGCATGCGTGTTGAGCACGTGGGGAAGAGTTCTGCAGACCCTTCCCTTTTTGTCAGGAGGCGGCGACCGGCGGGCCGACAGCTTAGGTTGACATCGGCGATTGCCGTGCTGTTCTTTTGCTGGCTCTGAGCCGGGAATGTTGGAATGACCCCTATAAACCATCCCGTATGGTTTCCTTTAAGGTGGGCCATTCCCTACTGAGCACCAGCAAGAAAAGGGGCAACTCCAAAAGCAGCAAGTAAGAACCTGGAGTTTTGCACATTCATCCCCTTCATCCCCTTCCGTTTGTTGATCAGAGGTCGACGTAAAGCCATGCCGGAGGTATCCGATCGGGAGATCTCCTACTCGATGGTCATCCACGAGCTTGCCAGGCGGTGCCCCAAATTTACCCCTCCCCCCGCAGAGTCCCCAAGCTTGTGCAACCGTACCCCCGGCATATATGGCTATGGATTCTATTCTTGGAGTAGAAATATGCGCAGGGGTGGCAGCAAACACATTTTGTGGGTTGTATAGTTTCTGCATTTCAGTTCCTCTCCTCTCTCTCTCTCTCTCTTTGCTGCTGTCCGAGGGCTGTGCCCGTTTAGCTGCATCTTCAGTTCCAAGACCTAAACCACGACATGGCTGTGGGTCAAACATATGTACCCAAAATGGCTTGCCCTGGCAAATCGAAACTTCAACTACAACCTGCGGTCGGATTCCTGGTGGTTAAAATTTTGACTCACACCCAGTTGATTCCCATCCTGCCTTATTCACTTTAACCCAAATCGCCAACAGCCCCAGTTCATGAACATTTTGACATCCACATCCTTATGCATTTGATTTTGACTCACACCCACATCCCCACATCGAGTCGACCGCCGACCGCGAGGCGCGGCACCGACGAAGCGACGGTGGCTTTCCTCCAGGCTCGGCGACAAAGGCAAAGCGTGAGCCCAGCATGTTGCACTCGGTCTGGGGAGTACAATACATAGTTGTATAAACATGTGTCGCATACAAATATATATATATATTTATTTATTTAGAGAGAGAGAGAGATATATACACTCTTGCATATATATATATATATATATATACCCTGACAATCCAATGTATGCATATATCGCCTACATTGGCCGACGCCAGCGTTTTTCAACTACATTGACCGATAAACCTGAATGTAGCCAATTTTTGGGGACATTCAAACCGACAACTTCCGACAAGGGTTCCGACAAGCCTTCCGACAACAAGCTCGCCTCAATTTCGACGACTCTATCCGACGACGCCCTCCAACCACCCTTTTCCAACGCCTTTCCGACCGCTAACTTAACTCACAATGCAGGAAAATACAAAGGCGCGCCGTAAATTGATGTACGGACAAAACTTAAACTGCGAATGACTGGCAACAGCTACAGGGCACAAACAGGGCACAAAATGATTCGAGCCAACCCCGGCTATCATTGTCAGTAAATGTTGGTTGCCTGGCACGCAAAAGAAGGAATCCACTAGCATAGTGTAGCAGATCCCGCTGAGGGCTTCCGATTGTAACGTTAACCTTTTTGATGGGCTGGCTTGCTTAACGAAACAGTGTGACGACGAAGCACGTGTGCGATAATTCAAACTTTTCAGGCCACGCCATGAAGCACATTTCCAGCGCAGGATCACACTAAGGCAACGCCGGTTAGCAAAGATCACTCAACAAACATAATTATTGCGCATGGAGGACAACAACTCCTTGCAAAACACCTCGCAGCAGGAGATCCCGCCAGTCACTCTCAACAAAACCTATCCAAACGCTCATGGGGGTTGATGCCCCCCAAACTAACGATGAAGCAGAATGATGTTACATCGTTGTTGTCCACAGGAACACAATTTCGTCAACTTGCCCGTGTGTAGCTTAAATGCGTGTTGCTTCCTGATTGCTTGCAAGCTGCAACCTCTGCCTTTGCGAGCTTAGTTGCTATTATGTTTGATGCATGCCTACGCAGGGGCGATGGGTCATCATGACAAGCTTGTTCGCGGGCCATAAACCGTCAACCGAAGGTAAGGGGTCTAATTTCCAACGATCACATCTCCAACCAAATACTTGCCTAACACCATGCCGCAACCCAGTCCAGAGCGCAGGCCCAACTTAAAAAGCCCTGGTTGTTCAAAGCAGGTGTTTCATTTCTTTCCAGGAGGCTCACTTTAAACGCATGCTAGCCTGCTAGCAGTTCCCAATCACCATTCGAGCGGCAACTGCTTGCCAAGCGAAATTTCACTGGTCAGATAGTGATTAAGGCTCTAAGCCTGCCATGCCCCCATCCCCCAATGCAAAATTCACAGACTTAACAAAAAACAAATTGCTGTACTTAACAAACGTGGATGTCAAACGAGATGTGCTGGGAAGGGCTCAAGCGGCGGTCTTGAGGAGAATGATTGAGACTGGACGACATGACGCAGTCCAAGCCCCATATGTTGCTTTGCAAGGACTCGGTTTTTTGATGAAACCCAACTATAAAGGACACACGTAACATGTTTGTCTATTGCTCTTCTTGATTAAACATGTCCTTGTCAGCTTTTCTGCGAATGTTTTGGGCTCAGTGCTTTGCCCTCATTGGGCATACGCGTTAGTAAGCCATTTGTTTGACAAGCGTTTCTCCGCTGTTTCTAAGCCAGCTTGCCAGCTGACGCCAACAAGCAAGCCACATGACTTCCAACTCACGGCGCCAACAAAAATCGAGCCTCGTCCGACGTGTCATCGCGCGAAATCACGCGTTGCTTCTCGTAAAACGCGTGGACAACACACGAACACAGTCCAGCAAAAATTCACGCTATTTCACGCTATTTCACGGTTTTCCGTTAACGTAAGCAAAAATAAGAAGACAATCCGACAACTTTTCACGCCAAATCACGCCAAATCACGGTTTTTCGTTTGCACAAGCAAAGGACAGGAACACAATCGAGAAGAAGTCACGCAAAAACAAACGAAATTTGTTGGGTCGTTTGCTCCAAATCGCTAAGAACATGGTAGGGACATACTTTGGTCAGCCAGGGGGAATAAACGGACCTTTGCTGAACTGCTTTTGGGGAGCCACATAGCAAAAATAGGTACTTGTTGGGCCTTTAGTGGACGTTCGAACTTCATTGAAGAGTCCTTTGCTGACAGGGAAGTTCATTCTTGCGCGGCAAGCTTTGAATAGGCAAGACTGAGCTTTTGCATGGTTGATGCGAGCCCAGAGCTGATGCGAGTAGACAATCCGGATGCTGAGTCTCCAGCATGCCAATCAATACTCAAGAGCTCTGAAGACATGCATGCTAAGCTTGGTGGCTCCTTATCCGAGTTTACATAGCACTTAGTATTGGCAACCTAATAATTGACATACATGTCGTGTGTGCAGCATCATATATCCCCCATGCTCAAGCGGCAAAACGCCAGGTCTGCCCAATCGCAATGCAGTCATTGTAAACCTATAAATAAGAACACCGCTTTATGTTCTGAGCTTAGAAATTCATTATGTTGAGCTGCATGTGTACCTAAAGTCTTGTACATGTGTATACACAATAAATTTGCACATACATAAGATATGTATGTCTATGTTTTATTTAGCGGAATTAAAAACAACGCTTTTTGGTAAGATAAATTGGAGTTTCTTGTTGGATGCTTGGACATCTTGCTGCGTAGATTGAGCACACTTGAATGACCAACAGTTACTGGGCGACAGTTGGGAGTCGACTCGGTAGGCCAATTTGGTTCGGCGCTCCTCATATCTCAAACATTCGGCACAGCCAGAAAAATGTCCATATTTGCAATTGCAAGTGTAGGCTGTAGTGTTGTAACATAAATCCCTTACAGTTGATAGATGGCTGTGCTTTCCAATGCGGCTCAAGGTCGGCAAGTCCGTTCCTTTGGCTCAGAGCATGTTGAATTTGTAGGGTTTTTATTTCAAATACGTATAACTCGAGATCAAAGCACGTTTACATGAGCAATAGAGCTCGAGGGTGGCTTTGCGTTGCATGTCCGACCCCATGTTGGTTGGCAGCGATAGTGCCAGTGGTCGAACAGTTTGCGTACTCAATGCTTAGAGCGGCTTTCTCATAAGAGTGCACCAACGCTGCACACACACACACACAGTCCCATAAGAACTGCCCATATGCACGAACAGAATCAATCTCGCAATTGTGGATTTCGTAGCCTGCTCATCCGGAAAACAACACTTGCAAGAGTCTGATGGCAAGCTCTCAACCATCGCTAGCTACATACATCATCAAATGTCCATGTCAATAACGTGGTGTTTACACTTGCTGAAACAAGTGCAGATTAATGAAAGCGAAGTTGCTACACAACAGTGCTTTGGCAAATAGAGCAAGCTAGCAAGTAGGATCATTGGGCCCCTGAAAAAACAAGTATGCTCAATAAACTCCGTCACACTCGGGTTCAAATTTGACTATCGGACACGAGCTTCGTCAAATCTCCTCAATTTTCAGGCAATATTTCGACATTCGACGGGGATTCGGCGAATGTATCATTTTTTGGCTATATTTCGACAATCCGACAGGGATCCGACGAATGTTGTCGTTTTTTTGCTACATTGCCAATGTACCCCAAAAATGGCTACATTGCAATGTACGCCATATTTGCCTACATGGATTCTCAGGGATATATATATATATATACACTCTTGCATATATATATATATATAGATATACACTCTTGCATATATATATATAATGTAAGTGTATTGTTTGGGACACCAGTGAAACTGGAGCAACAAGCACGGAACACCTAGCAACAGCTGTTGCACGCTTCAACATGGCTATGATGGGCTTTTGCGTTGTCCGCCCACTGAAAGCTCGAATCTTCAAAGTTTCGGAGTGTGGAACCCAAGGGATTTGGGCAAATGCTCGATAGATTTCTCGAAGGGTAAAGTTTTATTGGGGACTGTACCACCCCATAGCCCGTACCCCAAAGCCCATTGTGGTTAGCAGGCCTGCCAGCCATGGTGTCGTTTTGGGTGTTTTTTGCCGTAGGTGGTGTTTGACAGCCTCACACGTGGATTCTATTTCATGGATTAGCCGATGCTAGGGTGGCAGAAGATGGATAATAAATTTGAGGGGCTCTGCCAAACTAACTGGTTTCCTTTTGGTTTTCCGATAGTTCCGTGATTCGAGATGTGAACTTTCGACCACTCCACAGGCTATGGAAGCTGAGAACATCCGGCCGAATGCCTTCGTCTATGAAGGCGCTCCGGTTAAACCGGAGCCGAGCGAGCGCCTGACCCAGAGGATTCGGAGTAAACGGACCGATCGCTTGCAGAGGACAACAATGTGTAGGAGCCGAAAACAACCCAGTTGTTTGAACCCCTTCAACTGGTCACCCGATGTATGCTTGATGTTTGTTTTGTAGTTGCTGAAGAGGCGCCACACATGCCCACCGGCTTTCAGAAGTTGCTGGAATCCACACATCTTGAACTGGCCGCTATCGCCACCCCGGCGATGAGATCCAGTTTTTAAATATCTCTGGCAACTTGCGGTAAGGCTCAGGGTTCCCTTTCAGGGCTGGTTTGTGCGGACACCGCCATGGGGGTCCAAATCTTTTTAACAAGCCATCATCCCCATTTGCCTACATGGGTAACCAAGAGATCCACCAAAAGGAAGATCGCTTACTATTTGGCCATGGGTCATAGCCAATGGTACGATTTTGGGGTAGGTGCACCACCCCATTTAGTCTATTTTAGTGGTTGGATTGGGATGTTCACTGGGGGTACAGGGTTTTGACCCATGGCCATTTGGGCTTGCCTCCACATGCCAGCTGTGCTCACGAGCTTCAAGAATGGCAAGTGGCAGAAGGCTGCGGAGTGGTTCGGCCCGGGCCTTGGAGCGTCGGAGGGCTCGCTTCGCTGGTGACACGAGCCAGACGGCACGAATCACTTCGTTGGGTTTGTCTGCAACGGGAACCCCCCAAGGTGGTTTCCTTTTTCGGTTTTCCTCTGAACCCCAAAAGGTGTAACAAAGCGAGGACACCACCAGGTACTTCCTTGCAAGTTCACATGGATCCCAAAGAGGGGGCCCTCCAAAAGGATATTTCTCTACGACTGGAACTGGTTTTTGGGTTCCATGCGTATTAGTAGAGAAGATCGGGGATGACCAAACCCAAATGAGGGGATTTGTGTCATCTATTTTCCCCAACCGCACAGCTCTGTTTCGTAGGTCATAGCAATGGATGAATTGATTGGAAGTCTATTGCTGTTTCGAAGGATATGGGGGCTCCCATGTTTCCCAGTAAAGTCAGGGTCAAGCCCTCCCTAGTCTTGGGAAACCAAGTCGTTGTCCTGGACTCACCTTGTCATCACTGGACCGAAGGGGTGTTGTATGCATAGGTGTCCCTTTTGGTGGTTTTGCTAAAAAAAAAAGGAGATGGGTTTCGATTCCTGGTTTACCAAATCGGTGGTTAATTGAATCTACCAGGGAAACCCATCTATTTCCAACCTAAAAGGACACCTATGGTTGTACGCCTGTGCACTGACACCGATGTCAGGCAAGATGTGTGCTGCAGCGGGGGGCTGAGATGCATGCCGAGCCTGCCTCCCCAAATGCGTGAAAGCAGAAGGCTTAGGAAGACATGGGTATGGGTCAAAATTCAACCACCAGGGGACCACAGGTCTTAGTCCATGTTTCCAGTTGCCAGAATTCCATTTGGGGTAATTTTTGAAATCGCAGCCACATGGTGTTGCGTTTTTTTTGTTTGAGAGTACCCTTTGTTTTGTGGTTTGAAAGGGAAACGAAGACATGGGAGTGCTTTGTTTGAAGGTCCCATAGGGTGCCCCTTCCCTTTTCTGTGATCTTGAAGGGGAAAGGACACCACCTTGATTTTTCGCTGGGCCCCTCCCTACTGTGGATGGACGAAATCCTGCACCACTTTGAAACCATGAAAACACATAGGTTGTCGGATTTTACAGGGGCAAGAAAGCGCTTCCAGTGTTTCTTTGCAGGATTTCCTCCATCCACAGTATGTTACCCAAACTGACATAGACCACTCACAGCATGTTCCGGCGCTCGCCGAGCGCAGGGCGTGCGTCCCAACGTCATGTGCTACCGCGCGGTCATAGACAGCTGCGCCAAGGCGTCGGCGTGCGGAAGTGGAAGTGGAAGATTGGCGGGGATTTGTGATACGGCCATGGGCTTTTCAAAATCCAAATCGTACCCCCAGTGCCCAGTGAACAGGACCCAATCCAACCACTAAAATAGGTTCTAAAAAGGGTGGTGCACCTACCCCAAAATGGGATCCCATTGGTTTTGACCCACAGCCATACCAAGAAGCTCTCCTCCAAGGTGATAAACGTAGTCATGGGAGTATCGCAGATTTCGGGTTAAATGTTGACAACCATTGCCATGTTTGCCTGATTGTTCAATTTTGAGCCAAACGAGTCGACGAATGTCCCGCTCAAATCTTGTGGCAGTGTTTCTCAAAAAAGTGTCTTGAAGCCCATGATCGGTAGCTTTCAAAGCCGGTGCGCAAAAAAAGCAACAACTTTTGGGAGCCCCCGCCTTCTTCCACCACTCAATCTGATATGCGAGAAAGCATTTTGTCCGTATGGGGCCAAAACCACATGGTTTACTTCACGAGGGGCCCGTGCTTTTTACTCAATCTGCGCGCTAGGCAGGCCAAACGGCCGAGGCAGAGAGGCTCGGAACTTGGGCTTCGAGCGCGGGTTTTTGGGTCTGGGTCGCGGTTTGGATCAGCGACACGTCTGCGCGAGGATCCGAAGTAAATGAAGTTTGGTTCAGAGAAAGAGCTTCGAGACATGGAGGGCTCAAAGGAGTAGCAGAAGCATCATTTCCCCATGTCCTCTTGAGGAAGCAATTGTTTTGACCCTGGTTCAGTTTATGTCCAGTGGAGCTTTACAAACCCGGATTTGTCGTGTCTATGTTCTGGACACTTGGGTAACCCCCGACCTAGTTATCAATGGATCTACCAGTTCGATTAGCAATTCTTTCTTTTTCAATGAACCCCTATTATTTCTGGGAGGGCCATTGGTTTGGGTCAGCATGATTGGCAGACAGCAGAACTTGCGTGTGCGGGTGTGTGTGTGTATGTGTGAGTGAGTGAGTGAGCGAGCGAGCGAGCGAGCAAATGAGTGAGTGAGCGAGTGAGTGAGTGAGTGAATATCTTAGTTTGTTAGTTTGATTGTTTGTGTGCTTGCGTGCTTGCTTGCTTTGTTGTTTCTTTGTGTCTTTGTGTTTTTTTGTTTCTCCCCCGTTTGTGCTTGTAGTGGTGTGTTGTGTTTGTGTTTGTGTTTTTGTGTATGTGTTGGTGTTTGTGTATGTGTGTTGTGTTTTGTGTTCGCGCTTGTGTTTGTGTTTGTGAGCCTGTTTGTGTTTGCGTGTTTGTTGGGGCTTTTGTTTGTGTGGTTGTAACTTTGCGGCGCATGTTTGGTTGGTTGGTTCGGTGGGTTGGTGGGTGGGTGGGTGGGTGCGCGGGTGGGTTGGTTGGTTGGTTGGCTGGTTGGCTGGCTTTTTGCGGGTGCCTTTTTTTCGGGTTCCTTTAAGTGCCAAACCCAGAGGGAAAACAACCAGATTGGGGTCCCTGTATTTTGACGAGAACCCACTTGGCAGAAGTTCTTAAGGACTTTCCATTGCAGGTGGCTATCTGAGATGAAGGAGAGGTCCGTCACTCCTAACGCAGCGCCGAGCCCAGTGCGTGCGCGTGTTCAGCTGACAGTTGAAATCTAGATGATGCTTGCTGGGACAGGTTTCGCCCCATGGGTGCGAGTACCCGCGCTTCTTACCCCAATGATTTTGGGTATCTCGAATCCTATTCCCCGCTTTTGATTTTGCGTCGTTGCGCACTCGGAATTCACTTCAGCCTAGGCCTGCTACAACGCCCTCATCAACGCTTGTGCCAGGCGCCTCCGGATGTCAGACCCAAGGTCACAAGATGCGCTAAACCTGCCACTCGGAGTCAACTCCTTACAAGCAGGTGACCTACAAAAGCCATGTCCGGGGTCAGGCAATGTGAAAAACGAGGCTCGCCGGGCTCATACCACTTTTCCCTCGATCGATGGGCTATGAATGTTTATAGATGTTTGGCGATGACATTTGAATACCACCTCAAAAAGTGGTTGATTGACATGCATCGGTTCGAGACCCATTGAAAGATGCCACCCATTTGCTTTCAATGAAAACATATATGAGAGTGGTGGAGTCTCCGAGTATTCATAGGGTGGCATCCATTCCATCCCATCCCATCCCTGCCATCCCCCCCATCCCTCCCATCCCTCCCATCCCTCCCATCCCTCCCATCCCTCCCATCCCTCCCATCCCTCCCATCCCTCCCATCCCTCCCATCCCTCCCATCCATCCATCCATCTGTTGCCACCAGGTTTCAAATCGGCCGAATCGCAGGCGCGGTCAGGCCGATGCGGCTATGGGCTGGTTGGCGCGCATGCGCGCAGAAATGCCGCCGGACGTGGCAGCGGCCTTACCAAAGCGGATGTGTGCAGGGGTACCAGGAGTATCACGGGAGACCAACAGGGAAGTCTACCCTGTTGTCCATGGGGTTCCCCTTGTTTTTGACACATCCCTCGGCTCCTTGGGTTGCTTTCCTTTGACTTCCTTGTACCGTCTCCAGCAAAATACCACAGACGAGCAGTGGGCCTTTTGGATGCGCAAGGATTGCCCTGAGGTCTCGTACAATTCTGCGCTGCACAGCTGCGCCAAATCCAACCCGCAGCGAGTGGCGGAGGCGAGTCGGCCAAAGGGCGCTTCAGTCGACAGGGAGAGCCGGCTGCTATGTTCCACCAAGCCCAAACCAACCTTAACACCCCCCAAACCCCACCCTCCAAGATGACCCCTGTTTGTTCATTTTGTGTGGCTCCTTCAATGTTTCGGCGACTTACAACCCTAGTGGGGTTGGATTGACGAAAGCAGCATGAAAGCGGCACCCTGGAAGCAAGAACTGCGTGGCGTGGCCTGGGAACGCGCACTTTCATGCCGCAGACTTGGATAGCTTGGCAGATTGCAACCGTGCTTCCGGGTGCAGGGTTGGTTGCCTTGCAACAATGGTTATAGCCTACCGTGCAAGTCTGAAGATCAACGTGGGTTGCTGTACCAGTCATAGAGGGGAAGGCAAACTCCGACAGAGCGCACCAGCGACGGCTCTTCAGCCCAAGTACTGGAGTAAGCCGATCGCCCACTGGTGCCGATCGGCATGGTGTTGGGGAAGTGCAGGCCGAAGCGCTCTTCAGAGAGATGAGGAGCGAGGGAAGCCGGTTTCCAAGGTATGTGGCACATGTGCCCCAAAGTGTGGATGTGGCTGGAAGGGAAAACGCAAGGACACTCAGAGGGACCCATTCTTTGTTTGGACGTTGTTTGAGGAGAAGCCGACTTGATGGATGTTGTTTCAAGAGAAACGAACCCTTTTGATGTGTTTTGAAGGCAAACCCAAAGTGGACGGGTCATCAAGAGAGGAAACCGGGAGGCATGCAGCCATCCAGCACCGGCAGTCGGCAGGACGCACGGGATCAACCCAACCGCTGCGACGCTGAATTTGCTGGACTCGATCCTGGGTGTGGAGCGGAGGCCGGGATGTTATGCAATCATTGGAAGCTTATTGGGCTGAATGGGGTGCCAAGATCAATATTAATAAAACCACCATATAGTAATGAACACCAAAAAATCTACAATTAAGGAATGAGTAGACAACAACCTTACAGTTCCGCTGGTGAAGAGACTCCCCGGATCTTGCGAGGAGGAATCAAGGAACGAGTCAATCAAGCGCCCACAACCCGCGGCCCCAAATTGGTGGGTTGAATTTTGGCGTCTCAGACTCAGGGTACCCCCAAAATTGGTGGTTTTCCTTTTGGCGTCCCATTAAATTATTAAACCCACCAAAAAGGGGTTCCCCAAACAGAAAAACGGGTTCCCCAAACAGAGACGTCCTGCAGGAACGCGCTGTGCAGCGAGCTGCGGGTGGATCCAAAGGCCGAAAGCCCGGTGTAGGAAACCCTGCATATATCGTTTTAGGATACAAGAGTCTTTCAGGACTCCCCCAATCAGGATCCATGATAGGGAGGGCAACCCAGCGGGGGGGGGAATGATGAAAGGTCATGGAGCCCCCCCCTTTTTAAGTGCTCCAACGCATGCCCTGATGTCCCCAAACGTTGCGTTGCACATTGCTTTCAAGAAAGTTCTGAAGCCTCGAACATCTAAGGGTTGAAGCAAGTGCGTGACTGCGCTTGGTATATAGGCAAGTTCTATGCCCAAGGTAGCAGCTAAGGCCATGAAGCCCTGGTCGAGGTGAGCCGGCGCCACATCTAGCAAAAGAAGTGGCTGCCACTCCTCCATAAATGGCGACAACGCCGCCTTGTGTGTGATGTTGCCTTTCTGGGCTTTCACTGGCTTCACTGCTAGGGTCCTTGTTGGTCTAGCGGCGTGTGGCCGACGAAGCCTCCTTTGCGGCCAATGGTTTGCGGATTAAACCTGCCACAAGCCGATCACATCACCACAGTGCTCTGAGATCACTCAAAGGGGTTATGGGCAAGAACCAAAAAGGAGCGAAGCAGGTCGTTTTGCTTTGGTGTCACACGCGCACCGAAGACAGGGTGGACCGCGGCTACCGCAAACTGCACAACGAACAGTTGCGTGCGCATTGATAGAATGTGGCCCTTGGTACTGACACCATCTGACACCTAAATCGAACATCAACTCTTCGCATTGTCTGGTTCATTTTTTCATTCGCACTGTTGGGGGACCTGGTCTCCCATGGGCCAGACTTTCTCCAAGAAGGTGGACGTGTGACGGGAAGCCACAGGGCCGCAGGGACTGATTCCTTTTCCCAGCCATCCCCCTGGCTTTTTAGCTATTTAGCGTTTAGTGGAGTCCTTTTAGCCCACTAAAGTTAAACTAGCGGAAGATCCGAAAACGGACAGCCCAGCTTTGAGACCCCGCGTCCAACAAACGCGGGGTAAGCTTCGTGGCCAACAGCCGTAGGCCATCCGCAAGGACCGGGACCGGCACCGCACGGCCGGATCCTCATAGAGCCGCGTCCAGCTTTGCCCCAAAAAGGGCCGGGTCCGTCGGTGGGTTTTTTGTATACAAGGGCCAAGGGAAACGCCCCAAATGGAGGGTTTTTCCCGCTTATTTATCTTAACCCCCAGAAAGGGTACCCGAACAGACACACTTTTTCGTCCATACCTGGGTCAAACAAACGGGAATCAAGTAACCCTTAGTTGGTTTAGTGCTTGATACCAAAGATCGCCAACCTCCGACCAATTCGAACCGCAATACGTTGTAGCTCAAGGAAGGGTCAGCTTTGTAGGCACCCCCAAGCCAACTAAAGGTTCTACAATGGTTTTGCAACAGTGTAAAGGGGGGGTCAAATGGACAGGTTGGGGGGTTAGAGCCAGATCCAGGGAAGAAATGTAGCTGACCCACAGAATCCACCAGAATGTCTGCCAAAGACGTCGCAACCAGCGAATGAAACTCCATGGGTTTCAAGAGCTGCAGATGCCTGTGGCGTCTTCCTGATTGGCAGCCGAGGTGGCCCCTTTGTGCGAATTTCACCGAACCATCAAAGGAGTGTGGCTCTGCCAAAGAGATTGCCCGTCCAGTGACCGGCATCAACAAAGCTATTGAGAGTACGTACGCCTGGGGAGGCCCTGGCTGCGCATGCATCATTGTTTGCCAGCTTCCCATAATTTGCTTTGGAGAAGTCAGGGAGTAATGCATACGCCGTTCCTTGCGCTTTTGACTGGCCAAAGCAACAAAAGCAAGCAAAGTGTGACCAACTTGGCAATCCGGACCAGGATCAGAGAGCAAGCGTTTCGCAGGGGTTAGGGGTTGGGGTGGGGGAGTGTTGGTTCCTTTAGACTCCATTTTCTGTCTGGGCCAGAGCGGCAAAAACGAAAAATTGCACGAACGGAAAAAAAAGGAGAAAAAAGTGTCTTCTTGGAGGGTGCCTTCTCTGGGATTGCATTGCGATGATACCAAAATGGGGAGAGACCTTTTGTGGGTTCCTCCCCCCCATTTTGAGACAAGCCCATGTTGCAGGCAAGGACGCGGTGTGAGAGCCTACATTGCCGAGCATTAGCGCCGAGCGTTTGAAGGGGCAAGAACTGCAAGTCTATTTGAGGTCTATTATCCCTGAAAACAGAAGATGACCCCAAACAAGCACAAAGGATTCAAAGGATGGTAAAGGCGGCCAAGAACGCCTTGCGTTGGGTTCATCTCCAAAATGGGCCGTGCCACCTTTTAGAACCCTCTTGCCCGGGACGGTTTGGCTGCTGAGGTAAAGCCGTTGGACGATTGAGGCGCACCCGTGTCCATACAGGTGGAACTGTGGAGCCGTTTTCAAGTGCTGATTTGCAGCGTTCAGAATCTATGCGTGCAGCAAATAGACATTTAGGTGTTTGTCGACCCTTCGAGTCATGGATTTATGGCGCGATCACGCTGTCATGCATGCATTCATTCCTTTGATTGTTCTCTCGAGGGGTCACTCCTTCACTATTTCATTTCATCATTCCATTATTCCATCATGCTTGCATCATTATTTCCTCCATCATCATTTTCATCATTGGCATCATCATCATGTTCATCCATCATTCCATCATCCCATCATAGCATCCATCATTGCCTTCCTTCCTTCAGAGCTGTTTGCCGCAACTCTGCACTTTCCGCAGGCCATGAAAGCCGTTTGACGCAGGACGAGCTGAGCGGTGAGCGGTGAGCCTTGACGCTTTCCTCAGCCGTGTTTCCGCACGCGTCGAAAGGCGGCAACAGGCTACATGGCATCCGGCTAGCTGACTGGCTTGTATCAATTGGGCTTATTCAATTGCTAGTTTCCATTCCCGGTCTGACCGGCGTCCGATATTCTGCGTACTGCGCACTGGCTTGGAAAAGAAGGCTTGCAAGTTGACCCATTCTGGCGCTGCAAGCCCATTTTGGTGAGTTGATGCCTGAGGTCAATTCCCTGATTTTGGCACCGACATTTTGGGTCATTTGGGTTTGGGGAGAGATGAATCGAATGAAAGCTCTATATTTGCACGGAGATGCAGAGAGTTTCCATCGAAAGCCGGGACGCTCGCGGGGTTGACACTTTGCCTTCGGCTCCAGCGACATGGCTCCCTGCGGAGCCTTTGCCCCAGATCAATGCCCAACTTCTGACGATTGGCTGGCTTTTGGAAGGAGATCAAGGCAGATTTGTTGCACAAATACTCAAACTTACGTCCTCAGGATTCCCGAAGCCGTCGTGTGTCGACATCGTGAGACATGTCATGGGCGCGGCGGCCTCAGGCCCGACCCTTTCGACTCTTCGGGTTGCTCCGAGGGAAAGACATGGGCAGAAAAACAGAAAGGGTCGTCGTGGGGCCTAGAAGAAATCTGCTTGGTTTCTTTGGCTTCGGGTGAAACCAGATGTCACAAGTCTCTTTGCGGCAAGGGAGAAACATGTCTGAAGCAAAATTGTGGTGCCAACTACTTGCACCAACATCCAGGGGTGAAAGTACCCTGGGATCTTAGCAACCTATACTTACTTTTCTCATCTTTTCTCTCAAATCTCGCCCCCAGGGAAAGGTGCAATCAGGAAGGAAAGAACCGGGTTTTGAGCGCCCGACAGGGAGCGGCACTTTTGTTTGTTTGTATTTTTTTCTTTTGCATTCCTAGCTGGGTGTGTCTTCTTTTTGGGGTTCCCTTTTTGGGGTGTTTTTTTTTTGAAATGGACACCAAGCAAACAAAAACACATATATTTTTTTTGGGGGGGGCCCTATTTCGGATCTTCCCCAAATGGTTCCGTCTTAGTTGTGTTGACCAGGCGACAACTTGCGGATAGCCAGGTGGATGGTTCTTCTCCGAGACAGTGCAGGTGGTCCTTGTGCCAGATCCTCAAGTAAGCTTTGGGAGCAAGGAATGGGCGGCTCATCTTTTTTTGCGAGTGGGTGCTTTGTGTAGATAATCTAGGGGTACCTTCCCCACTCTTTCCAGGGATCCTTCTTTCTAGAAAACCTCCAAAAACCCAGGGAAAACGGCCGGTTTTTGGAAAGAACGATGGTTGAAAAGAATGGGGAATCAACCCCTAGAGATACGGCAAGCCAAAAAGAAACCGAGACCATGTTGGGGAACCAACCTTAAAAGACACCCGAATGAACCTAGGGATCCACAAGGAAAGGGGTGGATCAGTTCTTGGCCATCCCCTTTCTCCCTGACAGCAAATGCGCTCTGACTCGAACCAACCCCTGTCCCACATGGACAAGTTACAACCTGCTTACAAAGCTGTCTTATTTTGTGAAGCCTTGCGTTTGAGGGTTTAAGCAACTTACGAGGACTATCAGTTCTGTCTGAGGTCGGGGGACCACGCTTAGCGGGATCGAATAAACATGCTCCCATGCCTGGATCCCATTTGTGACGCCAGCATGGGAGAGTTCGGATGTCAGACAGAATCCCAAGGAGAGGGGGACGTGAGCATGCCGGATGATAGACATTCTGACTCCGTAGCGGGCATGCCTCGTTTACGTGAAATCTGAGGGCCAGAGTTCACTCGCATTGAAGACCCATCATCATGACATATCATGACTAGAACGTCTCCTCGTTTCTTGCGGAAAGGATATGGGGCGAAGGAACGTTTGCTCCGTATACTTGATTCTGGAACAACGGATGACTTGTTCTACAAACCTCGGGTTTTGGCCAAGGGGCTGAATTGGGGGAGCCGTTAGATCGAGGCTAAATGATGCGCGGAACGTCAGCCTACTTCCTGGAGAGGCGCCAAAGCCGGCCATGTGAGCGTGCCGGCTGTGGCTTGATACTGAACCATGACCGACCGGCACCAGGTGGGTGGTGTATGTTGCGTTCCGTTCATCCACCCCAACATGTGCGTTTGGCGGAGTATGTGACTTCAGAGCTTTGAAGGGGCCAAGGGGACCTGCACGTACTGTAGCACACGTTCAGTGTGACATGCGCCTTGAGATGCGAGAAGAACGCTAGATATCTTCTGCAGATGTGGCTTCGTCAGAGACCTTGAAAGCTCATTTGATTTCCGTGTTTTGCAGGAAACAGACTTGCTCCAACAAATCAAACAGGATCCAAACGTGCCAAGGGTTTCCCTTCAATTTCCCTCGCGACTTGGTCTTCTCGCCTTGCATCAGGAAGGGACCTTGAGGTCGAACTTTTGACGAACCCTTCCTTTGTCGTGCTAAAAGTGGCTTTCAGCCACTCAATTGGGGCGACCGATTCCGACAGAGACTCCTTGTTGGCTTTCTTGCTGGAAACAAAGAAGGGGGCATTCGGCATGTCCGCTTTTGAGAACTCCCAAGCCTGTGTCTAAACGATGGTTTAAACTATACTGTTAATACTAAGAAATAAACATACTAATGATTGGTGATGATTATTATTGCTATGGTTTAAAGAATTGAGATGGTTCTACCCAGGAAATCCTCCTAGCCATTCAAACAAGAAAGGTTCTACAGGGTTCCTTAAAAGATACATTTTGCAACCGGTTCTACAGGGTTCCTTAAAAGATACATTTTGCAACCATTTGAAACATGTAGCTTTTTCAACACAAAAAAAAAGAGTTGGAAACCACCATTTACAAGTTGCAATGTTCAGGTGTTTAATGCATCCGGATCCCTGTTCTACCTGACTCCTTGATGGAAGCAGTGGCAGGAGCTCAGTGCGTTGATCCACTTGGATCCCAACGACAGCGGCAGCTACGTCTTGACCAGGCGCGCGATGCGCGCGCGACCGGTGGCGGAACGTGCGGAACGCCACCCTGCGGTTATTGAGAAAAGGGGCCTGCAGAAGCAATGTGGGTCAAAACCAATGGTACCATTTTGGGGCAGGTGCACCACCCATTTTAGTCTATTTTAGTCTTGATTGGGATGTTCACGAGGGGTTCGGCTTTTGACCCATGGCCATATAATGAACACCCTGCCAATTTCTGGGTGACCAATCCCAGACAATCCACGCAGGTCATACTTGGTACCAACATTGGACCCGTTTGGAGGGTGAAAGTGAGCAAATATTGGATACATGGATTATCTGGGAATTCCTATTTGGACAAAACATGTTGCGCGCCATTCTGACAATCACCGCAGGGAGTGTCCGGCCAACTTGCGGTGGGCTCAGTTCCGAGAGTGAGGGCATGGATATTGAATGTTCCTCAGGTGGCAACCTTGGTTCGTGAACCAACCCCACATGAGCCACGTGCTCAAAACCCGGGTAGATGAAGGTTAGGAAGGGGCAATCCCAACCATAGCTGCGGATATCCGCCTTCTTAATTCTTGAAGCATGGTTCTGGGTCGACCATTTTAGTACCGAGTTTTGATTGTGACTCACATGGCTGTGGGTCAAAGCCAAGGGTACCATTTTGGGGTAGGTGCAACACCCATTTTAGAACCTATTTTAGTGGTTGGATTGGGTCCCGTTCACTGGGGTACGATTTGGATTTTGACCCATGGCCACATCCAACCTCGCAATGCAGTACCCAGCCGCCCAACTTGGAGCTTGGCCAGTCCACTCAGGTCAGTCGAAGGTGTCTCAAACAAGCGGCCCCTAAAAACTGGCTTCCTTTTGGCTTTCCCTTTAGCCAAGCAAAACGGGCCCATTTTGAGGAAACCCCATGTGAGCGTAACACCCAAATTCCAAGTCCAAAGGACAAAACTGCCAAAAACAAATTGGAATCAAGTTCCTGCAGAGAAGCAGGAAGCAACTTGCAAAAAGCAGGAGACTCAAATTCCGAATCCAACAGATTGGAATCCAGTTCCCCGAAGACATCCACGGACTTCGCCGGGGAAGCACCAAACGCCGCCCGGTTTCGCCGGCGCATGAGCCGCCGCCGCCGGCCTCCGCCTCCGTGGCCGCCTCCGATCCGAGGTCGGTGAGCTCCACCAAGATCCTGGCGGTGGAGTTCCGCGGCATCGTCCAGGGCCTGCAGGCGGGGCGGGGAATCGGATGCGGCGATCGCGGCTGGGAGAAGGAGAAGGAAGAAGCAGAAGAAGAAGAAGAAGAAGAAGAAGAAGTGAGACAACATAACAACGCATGGTTGTGTTGATGACATGTTTGTCAGGTTGTTTTTAAGAATGGGAAGTGGGAAACCGGGGGGTTGCACCATAATTTGCGTTGCAACCAGTAAATGGGTTCGTCTTGTTTTGATGTTTCATAGTGCCCTTGATTAGTTTCAAGGAAGCCAATGGACATCCTCCCATGTCGTCGGCTCCCCAATGATGAAGGCAACCCCAACATCTCAAGCATCCCAATCCTAAGCGTCGACTTGGGTCATTCCCATCTCCCCATATCCCGACGTCTTGTTCAGGACACCGCCAGATGTCTGGGGGAGATCACGCTACCGCTGCATCACATCGCCAGGCAGTGCCTCGGCGTGAAACAGTTGGACCGCTTTTCTGGCAGTGGCCAGCAGGGCTTGTTTGTATTTCCCTGTTTGGTGGAATTACACATCACCTTCTGGAGCCATTGGACGGAATCACCAGGGTATCAATCGGACTTCTCTTTCTGCTGTTCACCTTTTCCATTGAGATTTCCTCCGCTTGGTGGCGTGTTGGCGGCCCGGGGTTGCTCACTTGAACTGAAGCCGGGCTTGAAGGGTTCGATGTACGCTGGACAGGTGGCTAGAATCCGCTTTCCCATTGGTGGTTTGGAGCCCGGTGGTTCGGATGTCAAGGTGGGTGTTCGCATTTGCCCACAAGCACCAAGGATTCAACTTCTCAAAGCAAGCCGAGCCCAAAATCAAGGGTATCTTGAAATACTACTTGGTGCTTTCCTTTTTGGCGGATTGACGCATCACCATGGACCCACTTAAAGTAAGCTTCATTTAAGCAGAGTGAGTGGGAAGGTTTGGTAGACCAAGTTTCTTGATGCCGAAGCTGCTGATCTTCCAAAAACGAAGCATCCCCAAGAAGCGTTTTCATGTTGTCTTCGTGGGACACATCGAAGAGGTCGACCTCCAAAAAGACGAGTTCCCTTCGCCTTTGCGGTTTTCTCCATGTGAAACCCACCACTCTGGTGGTGGGTGCCCTGTTTCTTGACACTCGTGAAGGATGGAGAGATGCATTTGGCCTAAGGTGTGCTGGAAACCTGGTCCAAGTCTGGCTGCCCCTCCAGCCTTCGCCCGGCCCCCATGGATGAAGTGTGCAGAAGGCCTGCCTCTCTCGCTCTCTCTCTCTCTCTCTCTCTCTCTCTCTCTCTCACCCCCTTCTGTTTTTTGTTCTTGGTATGCCGGAACCATCAGTGACAGATTGCCGAGCCTTGGGAGCCTTGGGCAATACGTGCGTTTTCGGTAGCCTTCCCCCCGGAGCATTTAGGATGCCCTTCTATCCGATGCACTAAGCTGTCTTTTGCAAATCCCAAGTGGTGACTCATGGGGCATGGCGGTGTTTGTGTGGACACGTTGAATAGGACCTCCACATCTCTTGCCGTTCTTGAGAGCGCCGTACGTATATGAAAAAGACATATAATATGTATGGAGATGTAGATGTTCTTTGGTGTATACATATGATTTCTAGTTCACTTGGAGTTGCAGCTTAGGTTTTGGGCGCTCTCTCGGCGCTTCCTTGCCCAGGTTGCTGGCACAGGAGGAGGAGCACATCGAGCACTTTGACAAGGCACCTCTTGGACGAGATAGCATGCCCAGTGGAAGGTTGCATGTTGAAGACCAGTGCTTCATGGCCACCAAAGGGTCCAGTGTGAAGGTTGCTTTTTTGCCCTGAACACCAGCAAACACAGACACACCAATGTGGGCATAAGTTTTAAGTGGGGACCCTTTAGTGGACATCTGAATTCAGTGGAGGTTCATGTTCACCAACCACTGCTCAGAGGGGCTCCATGTATATATATATATATATATGCAACCCCCCCCATGGACCCTAGTTTTACTGCCTTTTGGGGATGGCAAATCTAGAATTTCCAAAATTACAACAGTTGCGTGTCTGAAATCGGGGACTTGACGAACCACCCACTTAACAACCTGTCAAGGCCTTATTTGGCCCGTTTGGCCTTGTGTTGCCCTAGGCTTATTGAGTCACTTGCCGGGTGAGGGGGTATGTCCCTGATGTACTGGCCCTCTAAGTTGACTGGCTGGCACGTTAGTTTTCAAAAATGTGTTTATGTTCAATTACAGCTTGAACAAGCAAATCCTTTCCAAATAGCAGCTACATGAAAATGTATACTTTAGAGCCTCCGGCTCAGTCCGCCGACATTGTCCTCTCCCTTTTCTCCTTCTTCCTCTCTTCCTTGTCTCCCTTGTGTGTTCTGTCGTCCTCTCTCCCTCCCTCTGCTCCCATCCTCCCCATCCCCCCAAGCCTCTCTCTCCCCAATCTCCCTCTCTCGTATGTATGCATGCATGTACATATGTATGTATGTATGTATGTATGTATGTATGTATGTATGTATGTATGTATGTATGTATGTATGTATGTATGTATGTATGTATGTATGTATGTATGTATGTAATGTATGTATGTATGTATGTATGTATGTATGTATGTATGTATGTATGTATGTATGTATGTATGTATGTATGTATGTATGTATGTATGTATGTATGTATGTATGTATGTATGTATGTATGTATGTATGTATGTATGTATGTATGTATGTATGTATGTATGTATGTATGTATGTATGTATGTATGTATGTATGTATGTATGTATGTATGTATGTATGTAATGTATGTATGTATGTATGTATGTATGTGTATGTATGTATGTATGTATGTATGTATGTATGTATGTATGTATGTATGTATGTATGTATGTATGTATGTATGTATGTATGTATGTATGTATGTAATGTATGTATGTATGTATGTATGTATGTATGTATGTATGTATGTATGTATGTATGTATGTATGTATGTATGTATGTATGTATGTATGTAATGTATGTATGTATGTATGTATGTATGTATGTATGTATGTATGTATGTATGTATGTATGTATGTATGTATGTATGTATGTATATGTATGTAATGTATGTAATGTATGTATGTATGTATGTATGTATGTAATGTATGTATGTATGTATGTATGTATGTATGTATGTATGTATGTATGTATGTATGTATGTATGTATGTATGTATGTATGTATGTATGTATGTATGTATGTATGTAATGTATGTATGTATGTATGTATGTATGTATGTATGTATGTATGTATGTATGTATGTATGTATGTATGTATGTATGTATGTATGTATGTATGTATGTATGTATGTATGTATGTAATGTATGTATGTATGTATGTATGTATGTATGTATGTATGTATGTATGTATGTATGTATGTATGTATGTATGTATGTTATGTAATGTAATGTAATGTAATGTAATGTATGTATGTATGTATGTATGTATGTATGTATGTAATGTATGTATGTATGTATGTGTAATGTAATGTGTAATGTATGTATGTATGTATGTATGTATGTATGTATGTATGTATGTATGTATGTATGTATGTATGTATGTATGTATGTATGTATGTATGTATGTATGTAATGTATGTATGTATGTATGTATGTATGTATGTAATGTATGTATGTATGTATGTATGTATGTATGTATGTATGTATGTATGTATGTATGTTGTATGTATGTATGTATGTATGTATGTATGTATGTATGTATGTATGTATGTATGTATGTATGTATGTATGTATGTATGTATGTATGTATGTATGTATGTATGTATGTATGTATGTATGTAATGTATGTAATGTATGTATATGTAATGTATGTATGTATGTATGTATGTATGTATGTATGTATGTATGTATGTATGTATGTATGTATGTATGTATGTATGTAATGTATGTATGTAATGTATGTATGTATGTATGTATGTATGTATGTATGTATGTATGTATGTATGTATGTGTATGTATGTATGTGTATGTATGTATGTATGTATGTATGTATGTATGTAATGTATGTATGTATGTATGTATGTATGTATGTATGTATGTATGTATGTATGTATGTATGTATGTATGTATGTAATGTATGTATGTATGTATGTATGTATGTATGTATGTATGTATGTATGTATGTATGTATGTATGTATGTATGTATGTATGTATGTATGTATGTATGTATGTATGTAATGTATGTATGTATGTATGTATGTATGTATGTATGTATGTATGTATGTATGTATGTATGTATGTATGTATGTATGTATGTATGTATGTATGTATGTATGTATGTATGTATGTATGTATGTATGTATGTATGTATGTATGTATGTATGTATGTATATGTATGTATGTATGTAATGTATGTATGTATGTATGTATGTATGTATGTATGTATGTATGTAATGTATGTATGTATGTATGTATATGTATGTAATGCATGTGTGTATGTATGTATGTAATGTATGTGTGTATGTATGTATGTATGTATGTATGTATGTATGTATGTATGTATGTATGTATGTATGTATGTATGTATGTATGTAATGTATGTATGTATGTAATGTCATGTAATGTCATGTAATGTAATGTAATGTATGTACTGTAATGTATGTATGTATGTATCCTTGCACTTCCCCTTTGCTCCCCAGTATTTCCCGCAAAAAAAACACGGTTTTTCCAGCGTTTTCGCAAAGAGGACGTCCAAAAACATTGAGTTTTTCCAGATTTTCGGCAAAAGGATGCAGGAAGCCCAAGCCAGCAAAAAAGCCGGCAGGGGGAATCGAGCCTGGGACCCCTGTTTTGCGACACCGGCTCCCCGAAGACTACGTTTAGTGGAACGTCATCAAATTGCCGCGCGGTACGTGGGGGACCCCCCCCCCAAAAAAAAACCTACGTAATAGACGTCGGGCGGGGGGGGGGTTAGGGGGGGGGGTTATCCTCTATCCTCTAGTAAGTATCCGACACGCCGAGCAATGTCGGCGGATATATATATATATATTTTCGGCTAAACTCCAACTAATCTATCACAAGAAGTTAGATGGAAGTTTTTTTCCAAATATAATCCAAGTGGTAAATATAATCTAAGACGAACACAACTCAATTTGCTTTTGACAATATCAAGTGAATAAAGACTACATCTCAAATATAATTCATATTAAGTATGGCTAAACATTTGGAAATTCAAAATAGGATTTGTGTTATTTACATTCTGGCCCTTTTGTAGCATAAGAAAGGTCCGACATTGAACTTGTTAGACGGTGTTCCAAAGGGAAATTTCAAGGGAAGAGAGGTTCAAAATCTAAAACTATCTCGAAACAGGGATTCTAGCTAAACCGTTGTATTTTTTGTTCTATTTGCGCAGGAAAGTTAATTCTATCTCAAAAGGTGGAGGTAGTAGATGAGCAAATGTGGACAGGTAGTTGAAGAGGGTGGGGGACGGTGTGTGAACGTACATACATATGTATATCTATATATACACATACATACACACATATATAGTACCCCCAATGATCCTGCGCCTCCTCATAAAATACGGTAAAATACAGTTTTTTTGAGCGTTGCACCTGCCTTTGTTTACCTCCTGGAAAGGGGTCAACATGAGCATAGCTGACATGAAGCTCACCAAAAGCACTTGAAAGTTTGTCTAACCAATAACTTGAAAGTGTGTCCACTGGATCGCTAAGCACTTGAAAATTTGCTACTATCGGATGGAAGATTCAATATTGAAGATTACACAGAACACTTTCCTGAGAATTGTCAATCCTGGCCAAACCCAAATAGCATTCAAGTTCTTCTAACACTTGAAAGTGCTTTACCACTGGATTGGGGATTCAATATTGAGGAGCCCACAAACCACCACTTTCCTGAGAATCATCCATCCTGGTCAACCCCTAAAATGTTCAAGTTGTTCTATCACCTCGAACATCCGTTACCACTGGATTGAACTATTTCACGGAAAACTTTTCCGAGAATCTTATTGAACACCGAGAGTATTGGGACAACCCTGGATTTGTTTTTGTTTTTGTTTTTTTAAATAAAAAATATGGGATTCAAGATTCCCAGAAAATATTTTCTCAGATTCTTGAATCTTGAATCTTGAATCCATATTTGTTCAAAAACTTTTAAAAAATATGGGATTCAAGATTCAAGATTCAAGATTCCCAGAAAATGTTTTCTCACATTCTTGAATCTTGAATCTTGAATCCCAGAATTTTAAAAATGTCTGAGCTGTTCTTGTATTCTTTGATGCATTCAAACTCTTTCAGATTGCAGGTGCTGATGTCATTGCTTTTATCGCATTTGTATGCATGCATGCGTATCATATACATGTATGACCCTCCCCCCAATTTTGACACAAATCCAAGAAGCAAAAATAAGCATAAAACACTGGAAAATACAGGTCAACCGCACCAAACCAGGGTCCATGGGGGGGTATCATATATATATATATATAGCCTCATTATCATGGTTAGCAAAACAAGAAAGTCAAAGGTGTCTATGCTCCAATTTGGGAAACATGGACGAGCACAGAACCAGGGACTCGCGAAGTGTCCCATGCTCTTTTGGCGGACTTAGGTAATCTTCAGAATCCCGGTGGTCCCCCAAAAAATCACACACACACACACAACCAAGAACTCAGAGGCGTCCTTTTTTCAGACATGCTTCAGAAGGCGTCCTTCTTCGCGCATGTTTTTTGTCTCACTTCCTGAGTTCATGAACTTTAAACTTTTTGGGAGGACCATTTTAGTGGCAAACACAAAGTTTGGACTTGTTGTGGGCCATCCACTCAGCCAGTGAGTTTGTGGTGTTGCAGGTTACCCACTGGACCAAGTCCCCCACCTCCCCGCGCGGCGCTTTCCGCGAGAGAGGCCTTGCTGAAAGCTGCCAGAGACCCTCGGAAGCCCATGGCGCGGTTCGGAGAAAGCGGGCGAGGGATCGGAATGGGACCTGGAGATCTCTATGTGGGAATGTGTGTCTTTGTGTGTGTGTGTGTGTGTGTTTTTGGAGGGTGCCCTTTTTTGGGGTTTGTGGGTCAATTGTCTTCGTGTTTTTTGGAGGGGGCCCTTTTTGGGGGTTGAAAGGGGGAGCCGAGAAGGAACACCGAAGCCCATGGTGGGGGGGGTCCCGTGAAAAAGGAATGACGCGCGCAGATATCCGCTTGTTCTTAGGGCCTTTCATCCTGTTTCTTTCGGGGGGGTCAATCCGCACCGACGTTCAGTTGAGCCACAATCAAAACCCGGGTAGGGGACGATCCCAACCATGAATATCTGCGGATATCCGCCTTCTTAGTTCTTTACATGGTTCTGGGTGCACACTTTTTGTACCGGGTTTTGATTATGACTCAGTTCATAGCTGCCCGACGCTCTTATTGGAGCTCGTCATGGCAAGCCTGCGGCACGCCTACGGCACGGTGAAGGGATGGCTCTTCTTCAAAGATCCAAAGACACGGAGCCCGCTAAACTGTTCAGGGCTCCTTAAAAGATACATGTTGCAACCAGTTGAAACATGTTGCTTTTTCAACACCAAAATAAAGTTGGAAACCACTATTGCAAGTTGCAATCTTCAGGTGTATAATGCATCCGGATCCCTGCTGCTTCCATGGTAAGATGCGTTCCATGTCAGCGAGCTAACGAGACCTTCCCGCGAGCCGAGCCGACCTTTTCGCACCAATCACCCTGTGCAGGTGTGCATTAGTTTGTACGCCGGGAGCATTCCGCAAGCCTGCGCCACAGCTTCTGGGCAAGCGGGTGTTGACAAGGTTACGCGGATTGGTTGGGCCAAAGCGCCCCAAGGAGGGACGCCCTTTTGGCGATTCGCGGCAGTTCCATCCGGTGGCAGTTCCACAGGCACGCTTGGGGATTCCTGGCTTTGGGTGACGTGCCACCGGAACCGCAAGCCGTTCATTGCGGTATGTGACAGCCATACTGTCAGCAATGCTAAGGCCAGCAAGGACTATTTGTTCAAAGCTCCGGCAAGTGAGAAGGCGCGTGAGAGGAAAGAGCAGCAGTCCAGCCATCAAACAACAATCTAAGTCAGCAGATTCAATCATGAATCATTTCAAGATTGTCATGCTCCCAGTAGACTCATTCTTTGCCTGGACGCACGTTTTGGCGACTTGAATCACGAGCAGCCGCCTTCCTCCACACCCCATCATGACAGCGGGTTGCTTGAGCTTCGTGCTGTTGACGGAGGAAATCCTGCACCGCTTCCGCAATGCTAAAGTGGTTCCAGAAAAGCACCTCCCGCTTCGGAATGGCTGATCGGAAGTTTAAGGCTCGGCTGCAAATCCGCAAATCCTAACTCTGGGGGTAACTTCCCCATTCTTTCCGATCCTTTCTAGAAAACCACCAAGGGAAATGGCGATCGGGTTTCGAAAAAAACGGCTGAAAAGAATGGCGGAGTCAACCCCTAGACGAATCACCTTATTGCGCCATGCCAAGCCGGGTGTGCGGAAATGGAGCTTCGGTTCTGTCCAGGCCAAGCGCTTCTTGGGCCTTCAACAGTACCACGCCCAGTGTCGAGCGAGTCGGAGCGACTGGGACTGGGACCCCCTGATTTCTGAATTGGCGCATCTGCAAGGATGACTTTAGCCATATTGTATGTATACCGATACCTATTCACGTATATATATATATATTATGTAGATATTCATGTAACGCGCATGACTTGGCCTAAGGCCTCCTCGATCTCGTTTTATGGACATTCGCAGGATCGGCCCCTGACCGAATTGTCACCACCAAGCTGAATCATGAGGTTGTGTTGACATGATGCCAGACCGAAGCAAAGTTACAAGGTTCACGTGTGTCATGTCTTGAAGCCATGTGGAGTCGACGTCCAGCTCCCTAAGAGAAGTCAGACTGCAGGCAGAAAGTTGCGTGTTTCTATTGGCATTCCCTTGCCAAAGGCAAGCTTGCCAGAGCAGATGAGTCACACCCAAAGCGGGGCGGATGGCTTCTGAGTTCGTGAGAAACCACGAAAAAAGCCGCCACGGGCCAGCGCGCACTCGTTTCACCGAGGTCGCACAGTCAGCATGCGAGGATGCTCCAGGCTCCAGCTTGATGTGTCGTGTTTATAGAAATCTGGGGCTGGGCGTAGATCTTTGTGACGTTCGCTTGGCTTATGTTTTCTCGGTGTTTATTCTTGGTTGCAGTTTGGCGCATTTTCTTGTGGGGGAGGGGGGGGGAAGGGGGGGAGGTGCAACAAACAAGCTGTCGACCCCGGCGCCTTTGCTCTTAAAGCGTCAGGCGTTGTACCGAGAGGTTCGCAGCCAGGCTGGAGTCATGCACTTGGGCAGAGGGTCACCTGTGCTACTGTGGACTATATGTGTATAAATATATATTTCGTAGGACCACCCTCTCCAATGCCAAGGTTTTCCTGCTTAGACATGTACAAACAATGCAAACACCTTGGTATTGGGAGGGGGTCTGTATATATACATATATATGTATTCATGGTTGTATCAGCATTCTTAGGGTTGGTTTAAAGGGAATTCGATATTGACACACGCCCATATGTGAAACATGGGCACCGGGGGTATTGGGTCTAGCCAGACTTGTTGCATTTTGATGGCTACCCTTCTACCAAGGAACCCACCACAAACACCCTGTCAAAGGAAAGGGGTCTGCGCAAGACTTCGACCCGTTACAGGATGCCGAGAGGAAAGGAGTCCTCATGGGCATATTGGAAGCTTGTTAGAAGCCGCCCGCAACTCATGGCTTAGCGTTTGTTTTGCGGGTTGAGCGAATTGGCACATGGCTGCTTGGCATCGGAAACGAGCAGCTGACAGATCGAGGAGTTCGAAAGCAGCCTGGAGTGACTGCATGCTTTTGGCCGACGTTCTCGATGAGACTTACAGAAGCCTTGAGAACCGTAGTGCTGGCGTAACGACAAGGCCAGCGTGGAACCAAGCAGAAAGAAGCAACTAGGTTTGGTTGGTTCCCAATCTTTGGGTGTTAAACCGACCTTGGTAAACCTAATTTCGGGAAGCCATTTTGGGAACCCAATTCTGTGAAGCCACATTTGGGAAACCAAGAAAGCTAGTGTCAAAAAGGAAACCAAGTTTGGGAACCACGGTTTCACCTTCACCTGCCGGTTCGGGAACTGGCGGCTTCAAGCTGCTGGAGGATCAGAGCTTCGCAAAAGCCCAAACACCACTTGACTGCTGTTGGGTTGGATCTTTAGACTTTAACCTTTGGGAAATCAAGGGTTTTTTTCACTAAACCCACAAAAAGTGATAAACACTTTTTGCAGAGGGGTCAACAGCAACCAAGACCGATGCTGGGATTATTGAAAGGGTTTGCAAATGTTCCCTTGCAACATGTGGTACCGAGCAGGCGCACCAGTCGGCTCTGGCGGGGAATCCTGGTGCAGGGGTCCCCTTTGCGTGTTTGTTTTTCTTTTTTTCTTCTTCTTTTCTGAGGGTGCACCGCCTTTTTGATGTCAGCGGGGATGGAAGCCACGATGTTTGGGGTCAAGTTGAAGAGACTCCCCATCACTTTTTGGCCCCGTTCAGCGCCAACATTTGAGAATGGCTCAAAGATGGGTCGAAATCCTCTTTGGATTTGATAGATCCATGTCAAGCGTTTCAATCCGAGTTCATGGGAAGAGCTAACTTGGCCGGGCCGAGCTCGGGACATTGTAGCAATGGTCAAGGGGATTTGACCTAAAGTAGGTGACAGGGAGCCTAGAGAACACTTAGGTATTATATTTTAAAAGTATGTGTTAAACACCACAAGGCAAATGGCTCGCTAGAGTGATGGCTGCGAGCTGGTGAGTGCGGCTGAGCCTGAGCTCTCAGAGCTTTGCCTTAAATTTGTTTGGAAAGACAAAGTCCCTCGGGGTCCCAGTTCGCTCTCAGAAATCGAGGCCTTTACTCAAAAAACCCAGCAGAAGAGAACCACAGGAACTTGGATGAGACTTGGCTGAGACTTGGCATTCGGAAACCAAGCCTGAAGCCAAGCCCATCGCGGTCTGAGGACTCGTCCAACCGCTCCAAGGACGGCTTGGCGGATTCCTGGCGCGGAGTCCAAATCCGATTAGACGATTCGACGGGTCAGCTGTGGATGGTTGCGAAATCCACTTCGCACTACCTAAGAAACCCTGGAGTCTGATGATTCCCCTGTAAATACCAAGCACTGGTTTCCCGTGGTTTCAAAGTGGTGCAGGATTTTGTCCATCCACAGTATGGCTTTTGAAGGGAATGACAAAAGTTCGAGGAGAGTGAGTTGCCTGGACTGCAGCCTGTGCTCAGAGAACTATTTTCTGATACTTTTGGCTCATGCTCACCGTTTTCTGAGATCTCCCAAATTTGAGCATTTGTTCTGCCCATGCATTTGCAATCTCTTTGACGCACTTTGAAGCAGTTCTGGATTCAATATGATTCAGTATTCCAATTTATCAGGACTTTAGTTTCAATTCTTGGGTCCAAAACTGCAATTTGATGTCCCATGTTTCACAGGCTCCAACCTTTGGACCTCAGAATCACCGGCACTTTCTTGACTGCTATTGAGTTGGATCTTGAGACTTTAACTTTTTGGGAAAGGAAGGTGTTTTCTACTAGACCCCCCAAAGAGTTTTTTTAAGAAGAATGAAGCCACTTTCTTGCAGGGGGGTCAACAGCAACCAAGCTCTGAGACCATATTTTTGTGCTGGGCCAAGTCCTCGAATCTCGGGAGAGTCGCGTGCACGAAAGGTCCCGGCGCGAGGAGGGGCCCGGAGCGGTCGGGGTTCGAAAAATGCGACGTCGAAGCATCGGGGGGGTCTCTTTGTAACTACCCCAGTAGTGCCCTTTTACCAACTTTTTTGGGGTTTTGGGTTCCCCCACTAAAATGGGCTGCAGAAATTCTGTAGTCTATGTTAGTGGGTAAGGGTACCCTTGCTGGGATGGCGGGAAAGGGAAACCAGAAGGAAGCCAGCCACCTTTTTTGGGGGTTCACCTATTTTAGAATGACAGTTTGCTACTATTAGTTTGGGGAGCACATGGGAGGACCACACAAGTTTCCGCCAAGAACGGTTAAAGGGAACCGGCCATGTTACGGGGTAGTTTTGAGCATGTCATGTTCGACCCAGTTTCATAGGCCTTGACGAGTGACCGCGTATCACAGGGCTTCGTAGAGTCACTGGTTCGCTGGTTTTTCCATGCCCTCGTCGGGCAAAGTCTGGTGAATTAGTTAATTCTCCAAAATTGGGGAACCATGGAAATGAGGGCGAGGGGGTGGGGGGGGGGGGGGTGGCAGGTCGTGTTGGTTGCCCTTGAAACCAACCCAAAAAAGGTACCCTCAAAAACGCCTCATTCTCATTTGTCAGTTGCTCATGCATTAGCGGTTGGTCCATCCGGGAAGGACATGGACAACTCACAACAAACAGCCAAAGGACTCACAAATGTATCCATGTCCTCGGGAAGCACTCCTAATGTTGACCGAGTTCCCAAACAAACCTAAAAAGCTCCCCCAAAGAGATGCACATGGATCTGCCTTTGTTCGAGGGTACAACCCTTTTGGTTTTAAAGGGAAGCCAGGGAACCCTTGGCAGGTCAAACTCATTTGAGACAAACACATGAGGTTTGTCTTAAAGGGGGACACTCATGACGAATGGTTGTCCTTTTCCTTTTGGACTCATCCAAGATTTGGGTCACCGAGCCTCAAAAAATGGACACCATAGGACCCCCTAAAACAAATCCGTGTTTGTTCTTTTGGGTACCCTCCAAAAAGACTCCCCACATTATGGGTGTTTCTCCAAATGAGGGATTTTTTCCAGGTGGTTGGGTTCTTGACTTCCCTGTCAAACCCTCCGATCAGGGTTCCCTATGTCGCGACGGACTCATACATAAGAACACCCCGGGGTTCACCCCGGGCGAGATCTCTCCGCAGGCCTTTGACCTGCCAAGCCCCGAGGCACGGGAAAAGATCGGACACACGACCGAATTCACCCCAAATGGTGGTTCAAAGTTTATGTGGGGAATAGCCCCCGTTAGCCACCGCAAGTTTCAGGCTGAAATCTCAGAATTCTCGGTCGATTTTCGATGTTCGACGGAGCTTGGACCACAGAGCAACAATCAAAGCCCAGGTGAATGAGGGAGGGACAGTCCCAACCAAAAAGGGGAAGATCAGAGATCCGCCAAGGGGGGAAATTTCTGCAGGGTTCAATGGGTAGACCATTTTGATAGGTTTTGATATGTGACTTGTAGGTGGGTTCAAAAAAAAGCTTTCCCGCTAGAATTTGGAGATGTCGAATCTTGCATCCTAGAATCAGAAGTGATTTCTCCACACCAGCAACCCCCCAAATGGCCAACCCCCAAAATAAGTTTCCCTTCAGACCGGGCTCCAGGTTATTGGGCACCCCCGAGTCCGATCCCCAAAGTTTCATCGTTTTCTTGACGCAGTGCCACCACCGCAACCCACTCATTTGGCGATATGAGCGTTTTTCGCAGATGCGTAACTTGAGCGAGAAAGAGGCCGGAGGGAAGTGGGCCGCAGACATGTGAGATGCAATGAGCACGAGAGCGAGAGCAGGCGATGATTGAATAGGAAATCCTCAAAATCACATACCTCACTCCACCTATCGTTCTGGCCACTGCAAAAGGGCTGGGCCGGATGTGCATCAGTTTGATTCTGAGCATTGCATCTCCAAGTTGCTTCCGTGCTCCTTGATCAGTTGGGTAGGCCGTTTAGGAAGAAAGGCCCAAGCGCCTTTAGGCTACTCTTGCCTACCACTTGCCAAGTTCAGCGCAGGCTTCGCCCCGAGTGCTGCAGGAGTGGGGTGCATCAGTTGTCCCACTGCGATCTGAGTCGTGTGCTGTCGCAAGCCAAGGCGCCTTGGCGCCTTAGCCAGGAGACCATGGCTTCCTTGAGGGAAGAAATCAAGTCCGCATCTCAGTTGTTTGGTTGTGCACATGCACCAAATGGGTATGGGTCAAAATTAAACAAGGAATCGGACCGCAGGTTGAAATGTCCATGTTTCCATTTACCAGGGCAAGCCATTTTGGGCACTATTTTTGACCCACTGCCAAGTGGACCTGTCCACTTCAGTAAGATGTTCGCAGAGGAGCGCCCGGAGGCTCGAACCCATTCCGCAGCCCTTTCAACTCAAGATAGGCTCCAGCATCTCGAGGTGTGTGAAATATATTTATTGGAGGCCATGCCTTTTTGGATGTCACTTGCCCTGCTTAGCACTGCCCTTGGCTTGCGGCAAGGCGATGAAGCAGTTGACATGGATGTAGAGCCGAAGCAGTATTTCGGATGCTATCGGTGCAAACAGAATGAAGGAACCAAGAAAGACCCGCAGTGGGTTATGCGGGGCTCGGTAGTTACGATCAAGCACGGATATTTTGACGTAAATCCCTCAGCCGTGTACTTGTATCCTCATACTGAAGTGTACCACCTGCCACATGGACCAACTTCCCCGCGGCAAGATGTGACCGACACCTACAAAACTGGCCTGGGCAGCGCGCTTTCCGGTTCAGGCGTGACGAAGATTTGCAAGACTGTGTGCGAAAAGGAGCTGCAATGCGACTCATTTCAGTTGTCGAGCTGCTGGGAGGAGGTGTTCACAGCCACAAACTCATCTTCATCATGATCGGTAGCAGTTCTTTGGTTTAAGTCTGGCCTGCAAAAGCCGGCCGATGTAGACTGCCTGGCACCGCTGCACGTGAGAAGAAGGAGACGCTCTCGGGTCCCGATGGCTGTCGTAACTCTGAGAAATTTCTCCGTTCAATTTCTTTGTTGAGCAGGTATGTGCGACAGTATGAACTGCCAAGCCAATAACGTACTTCCGAGGCAGCAGAAGGGCATGCGATGGATGACCTTCGACACCAAACGCATTCACCTCTTATAGCTTGCGAGATAGATTGACCGAATTCGATTACTCAGGGAGACGACAGCAGCTGCCAACGAACGCATCAACAAGGCCCGGCTGGGTTGATCATTCGCAGAGGCACTGGACTCACATCTTTCCCACCATCAGGGCGTGTCTTTTCTTGAGGGTACCTTTTGTGTGCTGGTTTTAAAGGAAACTAAAAGAGCAACCACCAGTTTGGGGGTCCCCTATTCTAAAAGGCACCCGTTAAAGAATCAGGGACTCACTCACTGTCCCACAAAAGTTTCGACCGCATTGACCGCTCGAACAGCTGGAACTCTCGAGGCTGGAGAGAACATCGCGACGCTGAAGGAGATGATCAACGACAAGCAGGCGGGGCGCCATTTCTTCACGGGGGGTCCCTAAATGGGGCTTGATCAA